CCTAGAAGAAACTCTGTCTTCAGTTACACTGAAGGGAACAGGCAGACGCAGCAACTTTAGTTAAAAAAAAGATTTTTTTACATTTCACTTCTCTCAAACCTTTGGGGTAACATTCATCCTAATCATGATAGAACAAGCACTTTCTAAGAACTAAAACAAGTCATATTGTCTCATATTGTATGTTCTGCTGTAATGGTCACATCACATCCCATGACCTCCAGTAGCCCCAAAATGTATCCGAACATTTAAAGTCACAACTGAAGTTGTAGTCTTTTCTTCCCTATTGTGATCGAAGTGAAATTGCTTTTCAAACAAGAAAAAATGTAGGGCGACACTTGAGTTTGTCCATCAGGAATCGATTGGATCATTTATTGTCCATTGTGATATTTTGCCCTTTTTTAAAGCTTGGTTTGAAGGTGATTTTCAGATAAACTAGTTGATTCAGGTGTCCCTATTAGAGAGATTAACCACAGGTAAAGTTCATTACAAGGCAGGGTAGATTTATTTATTTATTTTTATTTTTTGCTATGCCTGTAGAAAGTCTCTTTACATCCTGATAGCAATTACTAAGTTTATTGAATGGTCTAAATGTATATATTATATATCTCTAGGACCATAAAATGTTCATCCAATCATTGCCCTCGGTCTGAATTTAACGATACGATGTCCTACCTGTCTGAATTTACTTCTTATTAATAGTTAGTAAGGAAGTTGTTGTAGTGCAGTGGTTAAAGGGGTCATACACTGGCTTAAAAAAAAAAAAAAAAACATTGTTGTCTGAGGTCAACTTATGATGTTCGCTTGGTTTTTACATTAAAAGACATCTAAATGAATAAGTAATAGGCTATTTTGTACCCAAGTTTTGAGCCTACCTGAAAAACACTCGGTTTTTATGGGCGTCTCGTACTGAATACTTGGAAGTAAACGCCCACTGCTGTGAGTGGATAACAGTTTTGCATATTATAATAAGTTTCAACTCACCCGTCGATGCACTTGGGGGAAATTGTTCTGAAAACGTCCAATGTTGTAAAATGGCAACCGGAATGATTCAACCATGCATGTTAAACCCAGAATCTGTGTTTAGCACCATTCCTGTCAGATCCAATATAGACGGCACAGCACCGTTCTTTACTCTTAATCGGTCTGCAAATCCAGTTTTATTTACAAAACAATCCTCAGTGAAATGAAGCGAACAGACGGACAATGTTTTACCTCATCAGCTGGAACATAATTAAAAATAAAGTTTATCCATGCAGTCCTATTGGAATCCAGAGGAAGCATATGCAGCCACTGTCTTCTTCCACAACCAGGCACTGCACAATATTTTGTATTGCTCGGTAGCTGGATCCGGTTTGTCATCACGAGGTAGGAATCTATGTTATTTAGCTGGATTTCATGACCCCTTTAAAGGGGTCTGGCTTTTTAAATTTTTTGATATTGTTGTCTGAGGTCATATCTTGTGGCCTCGAGATATCTTGTGGCCTCAAGATAGTAACTCGTGGCCTCAAGATAGTAACTCGTGGCCTCAAGATAGTAACTCGTGGCCTCAAGATGGTATCTCGTGGCCTCAAGATAGTAACTTGTGGCCTCAAGATAGAGTTAGTATCTTGAGTCCACGAGTTATATTGAGGCCACGAGTTAGTATCTTGAGGCCACAAAATAGTATCTTGAGGCCACGAGTTAGTATCTTGAGGCCACGAGTTACTATCTTAAGACCACAAATTACTATCTTGAGGCTACGAGATTGTATCTTGAAGCCACAAGTTACTATCTTGAGGCCACGAGTTAGTATCTTGAGGCCACGAGTTACTATCTTGAGGCAACGAGATAGTATCTTGAGGCCACAAGTTACTATCTTGAGGCCACGAGTTAGTATCTTGAGGCCACGAGTTAGTATCTTGAGGCCACGAGATAGTATATTGAGGCCACGAATTACTATCTTGAAGCCACGAGTTACTATCTTGAAGCTACGAGTTAGTATCTTGAGGCCACAAGTTACTATCTTTAGGCCGCGAGTTACTATCTTGAGGCCACAAGTTAGTATCTTGAGGCCACGGGTTAATATCTTGAGTTATATTTTTATATTATTATAAGTTATATTTTATGCCAAAGTGGGACTAGGGGGGCTCCGTAAATGGAGGGATATATGGTTAGCAATACATTTTCGGACAGGAATGTTTTGCCAGGATCAACAAAATATGTTGACCCAGGAACGCGTATAAAACTGCAACTTCTTGCTATATCTGTCCCAACATTTCTGTCAAAATATAAATCAATGTTGGTGATTTAAATGCTTCCGGTTGTAATGTGGGTTAAGCCAAGAACAGGTTTAAAACGTTTTAAGTAATTTAAATTTTTTCCAATATTGGGATTTTGTTGATTTTTTAAAAAAGTTATAATTTATAAAGAATTATTATTAACTATAATTATGTTGCCAAATACAATGGCATTTATCCATGCTTAAAATGTGACTATAATTTAGGCTTAGGCTATACTGCAAAATCTTGTTATAGTGACATCATCGTGTGTGTGGAACCCTTGCTCGTGCCAGATATACAGCTGAGGAATATAAGCAAAGTCTCCTATCTGCTCTTGCTCATAACCTCATGTGCCTTTACTAACCTCCTCCTACAACACAATATTCGGAGCAATAGGACAATGATGCAACAACACACGCATTTGGGATCAGACTTTTATTTGGACTCACATAAATAACAATAGTTCATATATATACTTTTTTTTGTATATTATACAATTTTTATATAATATATATTTCCTCCTATGATTTACATTCTTTTTTTGCTAAGTTATATCTATTTAAACAGGAGCATTATGTAGATGAACACACATCTGCTTGAGCACATAATAAAGACGAAAATATCAAAGAAGAGGATTCGGTTCTTTCATTTTTTTTGTCCAGAAATGTAAAAACAACTTCTTGAAAACAAATGTAATTAGTTAATTAGTCTTGACTGCAAAGAAAATCACGGCTATAACTAGAAACCTGATATGCCATAACAATATCTTTCCTGGACATTTCCAATAAAAAATGTTTATATAAAACAGCAGAGAATATCACAGGAAATGCTTCGAGCCGGACCAGATCGTCATGCAGTGACCCGGTGAATCGCACTTGAACAAATAGATCATGTGGATGAAACTAGATCAGAGATCGACTCTGATTTCAAGCTTCTCATCTTTTAGCCCCTGAATTAGTGACCTGACCTGCAAATCTCAAAATAATTCCTCAAGATCTGCCTATGGCTATCACTAATGATACGCGGAACTGTTGAAGACTTCCTGCAATACATGTCATCATGCTCTTTTTAGCAAGCAGGGTTGCACTCGAGAATGTAAAACCAAGACATGTGACAGCGGCTGCTGCATTGACATTGTCAACAGAACTGACAACGGTGTGACTGAATGAACTGACGGCTCAGGTTTGTGCTCATACAGGAAACACACTGACAACTATTTGACGTCGCTGTCACACATCTCTCATACTGTTTGCACTTTCAGCATTGTAGCACTCCATCAGTCTAAACAGCGTCTCATTACGCTGTCCGTCTATTTATTTATTGCCCAAGGCCAAGACAAAGTGGATTTAACAACAAACTGATCAAGTAGAAATTGATGTTCGAGACCAAGAGCCTCATTTATAAAATGTTGCGTAGAAACCGTCATACGTTTGACGTTTCGATAATTCTTAAAAAAAAGTCTACATGTTATTCAGAGAATGAATGTACGTACAAAAAACGTGTGTATGCCTCTCTACCAAAAGTTAAATTCATAAACTGTGTGCAGAATAAAAGAGAACCAGTCGACGTCCAAATAATTTACTTAAAGGGATACTTTACCTCTGGATAAATGAATGTGTATTTAAAATGCATCATTTATGTAGAATAAATGTGAAATTATTTTTTGAATGTGAAGCTTTCTAGAATGAGAAAAGCCAGAAAATGTATTTTTGGCTTATGTGGATGAAAGACAACAACTCCCAGAATGCACTTGCTTCGCTGCCCTAGGAGGCCACGCCTACCGACAGAGCGCAGTAGTTAAACAACAAGTCTAGGCTACTAGTGAGTCGCCGTGATGAGTCTGCCCGAAAATGTGTTTCGAGATCTCCCAAAATTCGGCTTTTGTGTTTTACAGTCGCCATTCGTTATGTTTACTGTGGCGAGCAGGACCAGTGAGGGCCACGGCGTGAGAACGGCGTGAGGCCGGTGGCGTGATTACCGATGAGCGTCACCTGTGAGACGCGTCTGTCTCGTATCTCTCACGGAGGAGCAGGACTTTTCTTAGCAATGTTTAAACGCACATCAACCGATCACTTGTTTAGCGTTCATGTAAACACTACTTTCAGATTCACCAATCGGTTAGTTAGATTGAAACAAAAGGTTTGTATGTAAACAATGAATGGCAACTGCAGAAAGCAAAATCTGAATCCCTAGAATGTCCTGGAAAAAGAGGACGGTAACCCACAAAGTTACTACTCAGCTTTCTCCACAGATCAAGAGTCTGTTAGCTTAGCTTCCAAAAAAAAGATGGCTGACACTATGTGCATTCTGTGAGTGTGATCCCACCCTCATGGCCGTGTTGAAAACATGTGGGACAGCCTCTACTACTGAATGTAGTCTTTAGCCTCTGGCCAAAAAGATTTTGTCCAGACAAAAAATACAGAAATCTCTCATCTCAGGGGGATATGAGGGTGGAAAGCATGGTAATTTGAAAATACAACAGGTTTTGTACTAATACAAAGATTAATGCTAAATCCTGAAGTGTCTATAGATTTCCAAATACCTGCAGTTCTCTGACTGTCTGCCACAAGGAAAAGTGTGTACGTCTGCTACGCTAAGCACAGTTTTTACAAATATGAATGTTGGAGTGGATTTTAGCATTCACACACTCTAAGTTCAAATCTGTGCATACGCACGTTTTAGAAATGAGGCCCCTAGTCCCGTCTCAAGAACTCAATGCAATTGGCCACAAATCATAATCAATGCTAACAAAAGCCATGCCTGTTCTTTATTGCTCAACTACACCATTAATGCCACAGACTTCGAAACAACTCATGAGTGCTTGTTCATGGTGTCTTCAAGTGCAAAAAGAGTCTTGTAACTTTCAGATCGATGCTGAGAAGGATGATGCTGGAAAAACAGTTGGGATGATGCTGGAAAAACAGTTGGGAGTTTTTTAAATAAAATAAAAAATATCACGAAGGTCCGCCCCTAAACCCCACCTCGAGACACAACCTGCAGTGAGGCGAAAATACGAAAACACGAAATTAAACGACTTAGTCACCAATTTTGCCAAAATATAAAATAGTTAGGAACTTCTATGAGATTGTTTTGAATAAACATCTGTTTTGTGTCCTCATTCAACACAAGTGACGATGCTATCAGTGCAAGCAACTTGTTCTTAGTGAATCCCCTCTATATTTTTGCTCTCAAGATGTACCAGGAGGACCCACATACTTCCCGTTCTTTCAAAGGGGATCTGATGATAACACTCTGTGCTTTCATTCAGAAAGATAAAAAGAATCAAAGCAATCATGTACATTCAGCAGAGCAAAGAGGAAAACCCTACTGCCAGAGAGCAAAAACTGCAGCAGGACAGTGGCGTCAGTAGTACGAATCTGGTTATTTACAATGAACAGAATGCATACAAACCACTTTTTCAGGGAAGTATCTCAAGTTTAGCATGCTATTGCAAAGATCTCTTGCTACAAACATTTTTTTTTTGCCTGCACTAGCTCAATTGATTGTCTTTATATGGACCCAGAACTGGGTGTCCTTATTACAGCCCTGGACATGTGAATGATCATGTAAGATTCATCACAGCCATTGAGAAAATAAATCCACTAAACTGTATTTGCTTTGAACTATCATTTGAATCATTACAAATCTGAAACCGATGAAACAAAATGATCTTTCAAATATTTCCGAATAAATGGAGGTGTGATATACTGTATGTGCACCAATGGTCATCAGTTCCTGATGGCGTCTGAATGCGTGTCAATGGACAAATAACTCCACAGATGGGATTTTGTGGTACATCATATATCAATTATTAAAGATACATGTTAAAAACACCTGGGGAAACTTGTGCCTCATGCTTTTCACAAAAACAAACCGAAAAAAGAAAACAGAAACTGAGATAGTGAGATAGTGAGAACTAATCACAGAGGAAATACATATCATGCCATTATCTCCAGACATTTTTTTAAAACCAAAGAATCATCTTTTCTCCCTGAATACGAAAAGAGTGTAATAGACCCATAAGATAATAAATGCAACCCTTAATAGAAACAGCAATCTGTCATCCTAATATAATCATTATATTCCTGTCCAAAAGGAAGTCCAACCCTGTCGCAAGTTAGCAAGTCTTTTTTTTTATATACATGGGCAACAAATTCAACTCTAAAAAGTGCGTTTAGGGATACATTAAAACTGACAAAAAGCAAACTGACGTTTCATCATCAATAATTTACAATTTAATTTCCCCCATTTCGGCTCTTTAAATCTGAGAGCTAATTCACTCACTAGCCGCTCATTTATGTGACTAGAACTATCAGGAACAACTAAAGGTCCAACTTCAACCCAGCTGTGAAAACCAGGAAAAGAAGAGGGGCAAGGAAACCGTCTGGAATAATTAACTCCCATGATGCCTCAGTGGCAGCTCTTCATTCCAGACACATAGGGCGAATCCTGTTGGCGACAGATACCCTCCTGCTGCTCGCTGCAGTCCACGAAGTCAGGCACGGGCAGCCCAGACATGATCATCAACGATTTGTTCCAGATCATGAAGGTTGGTGCCACTGGAAGCAGGAAGGAAATGTCAAAGGTGTATATGTGCTGGGAGTTCATGGCATCGTAGAAGGACAGGGCGTTGTTGTCGTAGTCCAGCAGCACTCCCACCCTGCGCAGCTGAAGCGAAGCCTCCACGATGGACTCCTTGTTGTTGTGCCGCACCAGGAAGTTGTTGTTGCAGCGTGAGAAAACCCATGACGATGAGTTTTTACCGCTCCATTCGTTTTTGGGTGCTGACTTGTAAGCCACACCAAGCGCATACCTGAAAGAGGAAATAGATTGCTCTCATTTGATTTCAGCGTGGTTGTCCTGGCTTACTTGGTGCCTTAGGAATAAAGAAACTGTTTTTAACAAAACTTTTTTAAGGGGTTTTTTTATACTGGCAGACATCTATAGATCATTTGTTTGTTCTGAAATAGGGACTTAATTTGTTACAATCTTGCATTTTCTTCTTGGTTCGGTTCGCTTTCAAAGCGTACCAAAATGTGTTTTGCGAGTCACATGCAAGTACAACTTACTATCCTATTATTTTGGCGCTTGACTCGACTTGGCTCGGTTTTCCTCGGTGTAAAAGTTGTATCTGTACCTGCTTTCGGGTACTTTTTTTTGTATCACCTCCGCTAAGGCGGGCTGACGCGATACTAAAATGTCATGTGAAAACAATGCCGACTTCACCATCACCATTGATCACCATCATCACCATTCACTGCGTCATCATTTCACGCGGCAGATGGAGAATCCAGAATATCCCCGCCATTTTTAAATAGTTTGGCCAGAGATAGTTACTAAACTTACAATTATTATTATGGCAACTCGGAAGAATGTGCCGTGGTCAAACGAGGAGGTGCAGACTTTCCTTTGTTTGGTCCCAAAGAGAGGATCCAGCGAGAGCTTGATTGGGCAATGAGGAACGAAAGGCGTCGCTATGGCGACCAGGTACTATTTGTGGCAGTACTGTGTGCAATGGAAAACGGAGCGAAAAGGGAGTCGAGACGAGGCGAGCCGCGGCGAGTCGAGCTGGTACTAGTAATGGAAAAGCGCTATTAGTCAAGTTTCCTCTGTGTCATCCATAAAGATGATTGACAAGTTCGCTTTATGAGCTTATTGTGGCTTTATTTGTAATGGTCGAGACATGTACAAACACTATGTAGCCGTCATTCAGATGTTTAATTATATTCTACATTCGTATTATATTTGGACACAGTTTTTATTTGTTTTTATTAGAAATAGAGCATGATTCTCATGGAAAAATAGGTCATGTGAAAGCCGCCATGAGGATGCGGAATCACACCGGGGTGCAGAACCCGACACTACCTGTAGTTGCACTGGAACTGTGGCGTGATTTGTGTGAATGTGAAAGCAACTTGTTCAGGAAGTAAAGTAGCCTGCACATGTGTTTTTGCATTTTGCTCACAAGCCACTGTGGCCAGTGGTTTTCCAAAGTTACAAGCCATTCAGCATTTTTATTAGCCACAATTTTGACTCTGATACCATGTCTGATACCAATATTTTGAACATTATATCATAATTTAGCAGCAGTCAATTTAAGACATGACGTTCAGATCCATTACAGTGTTGCACGTTTTTCTCCATAAACTATTTACTTTCACTTTAACCATAACTGACTGTTTATGTGATTACTCACCAAGACAGGCATTTTGTGTGTATTTGACTGTTTTAGCGCAATAAGCAGCAAAAAATCGATTTAGTATTGACATGTGGCTTTATGTGCGTACACTTTGGGTGTGAGCAAAAAATCTGCAGGAATGAGAAAAATGATGGACATTCAAGTCTTGTAATCAACAATATTCATTGGAGCGAATGAAATGAGTGAGTGAGGGGAGGAGGGTTTGTGTACGTGTCAACTCGCTGTCGGAGAGATCATGAGAGAGCGAGAAAGCGCCGCTTGTATTGTGTATCTATTCTGCAAACAATTAGTATCGAAAGCGTTTCAGATATTTAAGTATCGATCTGTATCAACAAATCTAGATTTTTAACAACGCTACTGTGCAATTAGTTTATTATTTCAGATACCTTTTTAAAAGAAAAAAAATATTTAATACATAAAGTTCAAGCCACCGCCGAAGTGGCTAGTAGGGGTGACTGTGTTACAAGCCACTGCTGAAATCCCCCCGCTTGGTGGGTGTTAATGTCAAGCCCTGATGGCATTAGTTCAAGAAAACACATTGGATATGAGCAAGGGTATGCATGTAGTGTAATTGTGCAGAGTGAGTTAAGAGGGGCAAATGAATGACTTCTCCTCAAAAGAGTTTGCTTGCAAGAAGCATAAATCTGCCTTTATGTGCCACACATACAGTGGATGTCCTTCACTCTACTGTGCAAATAATAATAAAAAAAACCCCCAAAAAAACACAAAATGTTTGGATTGCAGTAAACATGCACAGGGTGAAAGCTTCCTTAGTAATACACTTTATGTGTGTAAGGCTTTTTATTATTCTATTAAAGGGATAGTTCACTTTGAAATACATTTTTGGTATGTTTTAGCTTACCTCAAGGGTATCCAAGATGTTTCTTGTCTTTCTCATTTCGTGTCTTGGTCCATCAATGTATACTTACATTTACGAGTCATTAATCATGTTTAATTTGGACTTCTCTGTGCATGCTCTTTGAGGGGGTGACCATAGACCTGCATTATATGACTGACAGACAAGAACAGTTTGACCTAAAAATACCAAAATTGAAACCACAGCAGAAACAAAGACACCTACATCTTGGATGCCCTTGAGGTAAGCTAAAACATACCAAAAATTCATTTCAAAGTGAACTATCCCTTTAACATGTTATTTATTTACTTTTATGTAGGGGACACTCTCTGTGTAGGGGACCCAGGTTCCCATATCTTAACTTAATATTGAATTGTTTTTAATACACCAAGTGAAAATTGTAGTTCATAGCCAATTTTATGGAATTATCTATGGAGAGTGTCAATCGACTGAAGCGGGATACAAGTACAAGCAAAAAGGAAATAGTTACATGTGTTACAAGCCTATAAAATCCGAAATCACTAACCATGTGGAGGCTCCCAGTAAAACCTCCCAGTAATGGCAGCCACTGTCGATGAAGACGTTGCCAGCGGCACCGTAGGATCCGGTTCCACTGAAGCGTTCCGGAGTGTGACTCTTCTTTAGGGAGCTTTCATCCTTCTCCATTGTCAGACAGTCATTGGAGAGGCGCAGCTTCTTATGAGCCGTTTTGGGGTCCAGTTTGAAAGGCTGACCTGAGGAGCAGAGAGGATAGAAATGGGTGAAGAGAAACTCTCACTGATCTGCTGGAATTTCCCAATTCATGCAATTTGTCTTCTGGTTCTGGTTAATTTAAAAGATGAGCTTTTGTGATAAAAGTCGCACAGTGTGTGTGTGTGTGTGTGTGTGTGCGAAAGTGAAAGACAGAATCAAGTATATGATTTGAGTATACTTGATATTTCTTGAGAAGAAGAGGTGACCCCGCAGACCCGACATTTAACTTTGGCACGTCTAAATTTCCCCATCCCCAGCGTAATGACTGACAATGCAGGAAAACAATCAGCTGCACTGTGTCCCTGCCCACAAACCAATCATCTCAAGCCAGAGTGAGGTTTACTGCACCCAGATATGAAAGGTTCTGGCAACATGCTGCTGGAAGCCAATTACATTAACACGCTCTTGTCTTTGAACTGCTTATCGCTGTGAGCGCAGCCATTCTCAACACTCGTGCAGTCATGCCATTTTACAGCATGTGTTTGAGGGCACAAGGAAAAGCGATGCAAATGTGCACACACACACACACACACACACACTACAAGCTACAAGCGAGAATCCCATGAAATGCTATTTGCCTTCTATATAAAAATAAGCAAAATGGCATAATTGTGCAGTGCAGGTGTTTAAACAAAGGTCTTTATTGTATTATTTTTATTTAAAAACAAGTACTAAAAAAGCATTCATTTAGAAATTATACTGAAGATTGTATTTTGCTGCCTTTTATTCGCAACACATCCAAACAAGTCATACTTGTCCTGTCTTTTTCTTATTTTTTTTAACTTGTTTACTGAGGCCTGTAGAGTCGGAGGTGTAGCTCTTGGGTGTTTTGCGATTTATCCAGTAGCACCTCATTGCAGTACACAAGATCCAGGGGGCGGAGTCGGATCCATATCTGAGGGTTTAGGGATCAGGGGGTGGAGCTGGGTAGGTTTAGGGGTGGGTTTAGGGATCAGGGGTGGAGCTGGGTAGGTTTAAGGATGGGTTTAGGGATCAGGGGGTGGAGCTGGGTAGGTTTAGGGGTGGGTTTAGTGATCAGGGGGTGGAGCTGGGTAGGTTTAGGGATCAGGGGGTGGATTTGGGTAGGTTTAGGGGTGGGTTTAGTGATCAGGGGGTGGATTGGGTAGGTTTAGGGATCAGGGGGTGGAGCTGGGTAGGGTTAGGTATGTAAGGTGGGAGGAGTTGGATCTGAATATGACTCCTCCCCATGGATTTCATGTTCTGCAGTGAGGACCATCTCGATTTATCTGAGCATTGCACGATCTGGCAACTGTCTTGAGTGTTTTCCACTTATGAAAACTTACTGTAGAATAATGTACTTCAAATGGTTTGAAAATAGCCTTGTAACCCTTGCTAGATTGATGGACAGCAACAACTGCTTATCTAAGACCACTGCTGATGTCGTTCCTCCTTGGCGTTGTGTTAACACACACCTGGATGCTCTAGACCAGCAAACTGCCAAAAATTCTACTTTTATAAAGTTGGTCACCCTCACTGAAGATCAAATAATCAAAGACGTTGACTGCAACTTTTCCTCTCAATTCCCATGAAAGCAGTAAACGGTGAACTTAAGTTTGTCACACATAGCTTTTAGCCAAGTTTTCGTTAAATAAATAATAAAATGGTGTAATCTGTCATGTGTTGTTGTTCATCTAAGATTGTATTTACTTCATTTTAAGACCTGCCAAGGACGATGATTTCTTATTATGTCCTTATACATAAAACCATAGAATTCAAAAGGTATACTTTATTATCACGACGGTGTGTGTGTGTGTGTATATATACAGTATATATATGAGCAAAAATGAGCAGCGCTGAGTGAGAACAACTAGATTTATGACAGCTGCAGTCAGACGCTGACACCTGTCACATAAATTCAAAGGTTTATTTGTAATGCACTAAAATGTGACAGCAACATAATTTGCAGTGTCAGCTGGGGCAATGCCCTTTAAAGAGTGAACTGCAGTGTTTTTCAGAACCTTAAATGAAATAGTTTTTACTTCATATACATACATACACACTACACACAGTGAGACTTCACTTTTGGCTGGGCTCCTGCTCTTGGGATGGGGTGCTCAGGGGAGGGCTGACTGCTGACAGCTTGAGTGATGTCTACGCTGTGCAGGATGAGTAAATATTATTCCGAGATCTTTTAACAACAAATAAACATGGCTGCCCTTGGGGCTGCTTGTCATGTGATATTTCTCATGTTGGCTTTATGTACGGTCAATAGCCATGGCAGTTCTGACTAAACAGAAGAGGCATCCTATAGGAACACAGCTGTGACTCTACACCCACATACACATGCACACACACAAACAAACAAAAACACACACACACACACACACACACACACGCTTATTTATTGTGTCTGTCATTCAAAATTCTTCCTTCACAGGGCAGAGTAAACATGACATTAAAGCTAGTCTACAGGAAAAAAGTCTACTGTCACTTGTTATTTTGCATAATGAAGTAAAAAAAAGTGAATTACCAAAATGTTACATCATGCGTAAAATATCCTGCCTTCCTCAAAGGTTTACTTGTGAGCTGACTTCAGCTGATTCCTACTGAAATAACTTGATTTCTCTTAAGAAAATTCACCAAAACATCAGTAAATGTGGCCACATGTTACGTTTCAGTCTTTTATGGATAGAAAGTCACAGTACGGTTGAACACTACATGGACTGACCATCGAAATGGACCATAATCTGTATTAATGATTTCATCAAGAAAGCAGAAGAGAGAACACAAGAAGAAAGAGGGTCCATTTGAGGAATAAAAAATAAATCAGTGGGAATGTAGAGAGTCCACACTTGAGTTTGTATGCGAACCTCTGCTGCAGCTTGTATTATAGATCTCAGCAATCCCTTTTGAACATATTATCTCATCCAAAGTTCAGCTGGAAAAAAAAAAAACTTTCATTTCAACACAACTTGCAAAGAGCCATTTGATGTCTTCCCGTTGTTGCTCTGTAAGCCTGCATGGCTGCGCTTCAGGAACAGTCACGTAGACCCTGGTGATGGACTGGGGGATGGAGAAGCAGGAGCAGGGACACATAAACACACTGAGCAGGAGCAAGCAACACACATAAACACACTGCTTCTATTCTATCCACAAGTTTCCTACGCCCCATGAGGCCTTGCGTCAAAAGTGGGCGCGACTTCCGGTTGGAAGTAAACAAAGCGCGACTTGACATGCTTGACACTCGTTCATTCAACAGTTGACAGTCATTCAAGTTATAGCGATCCAAACTAGCTAACGATGTGGGAACACAACCTCAACGAAATTAAAAAGGGTGAAATAACAGTACCTTTAACGTCCGCAGTCGTTGATTGGGAGTATTATAATAACATTATTAATTATCAATACTCATCAAGGCATGGTGACAGACAGTTGTGTGAGCTGACAAACAATTCAAATAAAAAAATACACACTTAGTCATTGTGCTTTGGAGTTTATTCAAAATTATAAATGAATGTGCTACTTGAATACATTACTGGCACATTTGGTATTCTGTCAACACAGGCTTTGATCCTGAGTTTAGGTGTAACATCAGTAGCGAACAGCCAATCACATGCTGATAGAGTTTATAAAATATAAAGAATTAAAAAAAAAATTTACACAGGAAGATTCGTCGTCTTTTGGGAGGTGATGGAAACTAACGTTACAGTCGTTGGCAGGATCAGAGACGGGCTCTGGCAGGATCACTCGTTTTCAGCTTATGTTCAAAACAATCACGTTTAAGCCACTGAATTAGTTTAGTCCGGTTATACATACAACCGCGAACAGCACATATTGTCCCTGAGCTCCGTAACGACATCTCTCATAAAGATTTGCGTCTTTAAATAGTAAAATAATTCTCCGAAAAACAGCTAGCATCTTTGCTAACTAACACACAAAATACCATTGGAATGCTACTTCCGCCGCGTCACCGGAAGTTTCACCCACTTTATTTTTTACAGGAGAGCCCCTCGGAAACTTGTGGATTTATTTCACATGTGGCCACATTTACTGTTGTTTTGGTGAATTTTCTTAGGAGAAATCAAGTTATTTCAGTAGGAATCCATGCAAACAGGAATTGTAGGAGTCAGCTCACAAGTAAACCTTTGAAGAAGGCAGGATATTTTATGCATGATGTAACATTTTGGTAATTCCCTTTTTTTCTTTTTACTTCATTATGCAAAATAACAAGTGACGGCTCAAGTTTCTTCTTTTTTTCTTCAGGGTTTCTTTTGGTGTACGTTCATAAACTTCCAAGTAATCAAGTAAATAAAATGATATATCCTACATATACACATGCAAAAGTCTTAGGCATGTTAGCATTTTTGGAAATCTGATCTCACCACCATCGAGTCCATCTGGGATTACATGACGAATCAGAGCAGCAACTTGATTTTATTTATCAGTTAATTTCAATAAACTAAATCAAATCAATATTTGCCGCGAACACCCTTAGCTTTTAAAACAGCTTTTTTTCTCATGCAGGTACACTTGCACATATTTTTTGAGGTAACTTTGCAGGAAGGTTTCTTCAAGTGTTTTGGAGACGTTGCCGCAGTTCTTCTGGATTTAGTCAGTCTCAGTTTTTTCAGTTTGTTTATGTAATCACAGAAAGACTCAAATGATGGTGAGATCAATTCTGCTTCTATAGGCTACTTTTTGTAATGTCGAATTGATGCTTTTCTCTTTTCACACAGCCACAATTGATGTGCCATTAATTTGATTAATTGGCAAATCATATCATTAATTTGATAAAAAAAAAATAATTGCTTGACAGCCCTAATATATAAAAATATATACCAAATTATTATGATATTTTTATTAATAACTGTTGTAACATATAAATCATTTTAGATTGCATTTCCAGCAAAATATGTACGGTTACTGTGATAGCCTAAACATTATATAGCAAATCTCAACTTTGATTTTTTTGTTGTTTTGTCGCAAATGATAACTATGTTATCGGCCAGCTCTTTATAAAGTTTGATTTATGTCCAGATTTATCAGCACACATAGGCTAAAATGTACGTGTATACAGGGTGACATTAACTATATATCTCAACAGCATGATTGCTTGTATCATTGCAAAAATTATATTATTGCCCAGCTCTAATTGTGAATACAGGGCAAGAAGATATTAAGATATTATAAACACTGTGATTTTCTGTAACGATGAAACAATGTGTATTGTGAAAAGCACTATACATATAAATTTGACTTGAATTGATATAACATTACTTATACAAGATATACTCACACAGTCCACTTTCCTAATTAATATTAAATAATTACATAAAAAAAAAAATAAGAATGCTGCATTTTAAGCTAAAGCGATCTTGATTTTTGGCCATTGCACATATCAAAATTGAGAGGCCCTGTGATACGATCACTTCTACTTCATCTCTGCCTTTGCAAATTACAGTCGCCACTTAAAGTCTTCAGAGAAATTAATTGTCGATGATCAAGCTTCAGCTCTAGGATTTAACTGGGGGCTGAACAGGCGCTCACTCCGAATTCCTGAATAAAACAGGAAGAGATTACGTAAATGTCTTTAAATAGCATTTCTCTCGAGACGGGGGGGAGGTGTCTGGACTTTCACGGTCGAGTAGGCATGGCAAGCATGCGTGTGCCAGTGAAAACATGAAACATAATTGGCCCAAAGACAGTTTCCTTCTTTATATAGGCAGAAGGCACAGCTGTGGGAAAGGACTTTCTTTGATGATGCAAGGGTTAAAATGTGTTCTATGGAGAATACAATAAACAGCAAGCCTTAAATTTCCTACTTTGAATTTCAATTCTACCGTACTACAAAGAGAGAAAGTTAAACTTTGGCTAGGCTTCCCAAAGCATTTAGTAGAAATATAGTGCTTAGTCTCAAACGGTACATTTCCCAATTGCAGCATTATCTAAGAAGCACTGATCAAAAGTTTGGGATCAGTATGACTTAAAAAAGGAATTAATACTTTTATTCCGCAAGGATGCCTTCAAATTGATCAAAAGTAACAGTAAAGATATTTAAAATGTTCCAAAAGGTTTGTATTTCAAAATACAAAGTTCTTATTTCAGTTCTTTAAAAATCTGGAAACTGAAAAAAAAGTTATCAGGTTTTCCACAAAAAAAAAAAAAAAGCAGCACAACATTGTTTCTTGAGCACCAAATCATATTAGAATGATTTCTGAAGGATCATCAGACACTGAAGTCTGGAGTAATGATGCTGTACATTCAGCTTTGATATCTGATAAAATACATTGTTTAAATACATTGTTTCTGTTTAAATGATCATACGACGAAGCCTCCTTGCTCGTTTTTTTTGTCGACGGTTAACACGGTGCGGTGGCTGGTGTTGCCAGATTGGCTATTTTTTCGCTAGATAGTAAGGCCGGTTTATACGAAGCCCCCCTAGTCCCACTTTGGCCTCAAGATATTAATTCGTGGCCTCAAGATACTATCTCGTGGCCTCAAGATAGAGTTAGTATCTTGAGACCACGAGTTAGTATCTTGAGGCCACGAGTTATTATGTTGAGGCCACGAGATAGTATCTTGAGGCCACGAGATAGTATCTTGAGGCTACGGGTAAATATCTTGAGGCCATAAGTTACTATCTTGAGGCCACAAGATAGTTCTAATTATTTATTTTTTTTTTTGCCAAAGTGGGACTAGGGGGGCTCCGTAGGTTTGTGTTTTAGCCGGGTTTTCGCCTGGAAGGCTCTATAGAAATCTGGCACCCTATTGAACAAAGTTAAACTAAGAGAGCATGTGCTCACAGACACCAGAATGAACACGTTCACAGTAACGTTCATCAGGCAGTAATACAGTACGTAAAGTTCACGTTCGCCCAAAATATGAACGCGTTCAGGCACAACACTGTGTGCCAAGATAGGAAACAGATGATCATAAAATAACATGCATCTTTAGTTTAGATGATCATATGATCCTATGCAGGGATGGGCAGTATTTCAGATACATGTATTTAAAATACATATTTGAAATACAAAATACTATTTTGTATTTTGTATTTTAAAGCCTTTGTAAAAAATCTAATGTAATTTGTATTTAAATACATTTAAGATTAGTATTTTTGTATTTTTTAAAATACTCAAAATACTTTGAGCCAGAATCCTAGAAGATCAGAGGAAGGATTTGGACATCTTGAACCAGTATCCAGTTATTAGACAGCTGTTTGTGAGGTTCAACACAATCATTCCCTCTTCAGCTCCTGTAGAGCGCTTGCAATAGGCCACACAGACGACGCCTTATAAACCCAAACTTTTTGAAAAGCTGGTGGTGCTAAAGGGTATCGAATAGATGGATGTCTGATACACATATAGGTACACCACCTGGAGGAGTACACCATCAGTTATTTAAAATGTAATTTACTTTGTCTTATTGAGTTCTTGTTACTGAGTGCGAGGTAATGATGGTGATAAAACATAGTAAAATATGTTTGAAATTAGTTTTTTGTTTTTTTGTTTTTTTGTAGTTTTGTATTTCCTACAGGGCTGGGGAAGGGAAGAGGTATATAAAATAAAAACAAAAGTTTCTAAGTAGTTGCACACATCTAAATATTTGCTGGCGTTCAGAATAGGCCCAGATAGATTTCAGCCTAATAGGGATGCCTGCACTGAATCGCCAATGTCAGAAATGTATTTTCTGTATTTTCAAAATACAAAATACTGTATTTGTATTTAAATACATTTTTCCACACAGTATTTTGTATTTGTATTTAAATACATTTTCCCCACAGTATTTTGTATTTGTATTTAAATACATTTTCATGTATTTATGCCCATCCCTGATCCTATGCATTATGGGAAAAAGCCCTTCTCTCTTGGAAAAAAAAAATAATAATTAAAAAACAACACACAAAGATTTGAAAGGGCTTAGATTTGAGTCTCAATACCAGTGAACTTTAGAGCAACATACTGTATGCTTTCCTACATTTTCACAGGACAGGCTTTAACAGCACAATACAGACACTGGACCTTTGTATGTGTCTGGAAGAAAATTACATTTAATGGCACCGCTGTCTAAAATAGCATTATTACAGTAACAAAAAAGACAAATTGGTGAGTGATAGAAAAGCGAGAGAGAGAGAGAGAGAGAGAGAGAGAGAGAGAGAGAGAGAGATAGAGATGCACTGCAGCAGTATTCTCAAAAGCTAAAAGAACCATGAGAAAGTAGAGGACCAAGAGGTAGAAACAGACAGTGAAAATAAGTGAGAGAGGAATGTTTGGCGTTTCCTCTAGACATTCCTGTATTTCTCTCTCAAACTCCTCCACAAGGCTGCTTAGAGTCTCTGATGCAATAACCCATTTGAATGCTGTCACCTGGTGCCCTGTATCTTGATTGAGTTATTTGCTGTGAGAAGGCTGGGTAACGTCTGACAGCTTAGGTGAGGGACCCGGGCTTTTCCACATCTCTTTCTCGCACACACAGCAGTTCGACACCAAACTAACTGATGGTTCCCATTATTTACATGCTTGGGTGCTAGTCGCAGATAGAACACTGATAAAGGTATTGAGCGGTTGAGTATGACAGAGATGCTGCATTTACACTGATGTATCCCCACCATATATACTAGGACTCTGCATATAATACCTAAGAGGTGCTGAAGGGCATGTTGGGCTTGATTTATCACTCAAATTATCAATAATTTGAGATTATTGAAGTCAGTCCATTATTCTCCCCTACAAAGATCCTGTAATAATTGAGGTTCAGACAGCCCGTTCTCATCCTTTAACGTCATATAGAACGCTATATGCAAAAACGGCGCTATACTACGCATATGGCACCCTTTATCGTTAATATAACACGCGAACCCAAGACGTTATAAATCCTTTAGCGTAAATGTGACACGCGCACCCTACCCCACACCTAAACTTAGCCCTCACAGCGCGTGTTATATTAACGATAACGTGTGCCATGCGCGTAGTATAGCGCCGTTTTGTCATATAGCGTTCTATATGACGTTAAAGGATGAGAACGCGTTGGTTCAGAGGGCATATTTTTTTTAAGACTAATTGTAGTACTGAAGGATCAGAACTGTTAGCCCAATAGTGGCAAGAAACATATATAATGTTTAACCGACTCTGATTTGGGTGGGTTTCTCTCATTCCCATACAACGTCACTTCTCTGTCTTTCACTGCCCTGACAAGAACGTCAGTCTCATCGGCTGTAAACGTTCTTGGTGCGCGCCTGGTAAAACCGTCGTTATAATAACTATCCGTCATGCAACATGCACACCTGCTCTTAAAGGGTACGTTGGATGACGCTCTGATTGGTTTATTTCACGTTACGCCCAAACCACACCTATGAATAATGAGGCTACTTCAGACCAACCCCTTTTAAACTTGAGCCTGGCGCAAGAATCATTTATACCACCGGTAAAATAGCAACAGCCCCCAAGACCTGCCCACAAAGTTACATGTGCTTTGCGCTTGTATGGGTAAGCCGTTAATATAGGGCCCATTATGTAGATTGTACTCGACTTATCTACAGCCAGTTGTGTTTATATTTTTGCTCTTGCTATTCTAACTTGTAGATTTTAAATAAAGACTGAAAGAGTTGTCAGAAGCTTGATGGTTGGGATGCTGAAGTCATGTGATTGTGTCTACAGCCAAACTTTATCTTTTTATTCCTGCTGATTGTATTTATTTAGGCTTCAAAATTCATAGAAGTTGTGTTCATTTCTGCACATTATCATAAATGTAAGAATCATAAATGATAACTTCTGGGTTGCCTACAACAATACATATATAATTCATACAACTTTCTAGATTTTGGCACCAGCTACTTATACAGACCACTAGCATGTGGTCTATTGATCCTTGCATCACACTGGACTTACTGTTGGTTTTGAGGCGAGCAGGTTCACTGTTTCTGCTGCCTGCCTGGTTGATAGCCTTGACGAAAAAGATGTAACGGGTGCCGCTCTGCAAGCCATGGACTGTGTAGTGATTCTGCTTGATATTGGGAACAATCATCCAGCTATCTACAGAGTTATACAGACCTGCAAGGAAAGAGAAAGAGAACAACATTAATGACAGATGCTGGTGCAATAATCACCACGTGCAAATAAATATTTGAACACATTGTGATTCTAAAAAGGGAATGGTACATATGAAGATTATTATTTGAGGCATGTCTGTTTCTGTTTGATATGAAAATACATATAGCACACGTTCGGAGAGAGACTCCGGATGTTTGCCTCAGGCAAGTAGAGATGCCCCCCAAGCCAGTCTCTCATGGTGAACCATTTGCCCAGAATGCCCTTAGGAAACATCAACGCTTCCATTAAAGGGGTCACATAAGGGTATAAGCACTTTTTATTTTTTTTTTCTTAGTTGATTGTACTGAAATGTGTGTTGTCCACAGCCATAATATAATGAAAAAATCCATCCAGTGTTTTTGTTTTAATCTCCTTATATGTTTTTCCCAGTCTCAAATCGAGTCGTTCGGCCGTGTGACGTCACTAAATCGGACGCCCCTCCCACAATTGTTGATTGACAGCAGCGTTTCAACAAATCCCCGCCAAAAATGTATATTCCCCACCCTGTCATCATAGTCCGTCATTGTTGATACGCTGGAGCAGAATGTGGTGTTCTGTTCTTGGGTGTAATAATGAACACAGCAGTCATGTTACTAAATCCGAACCGCTCAAGACATAATGGCTGAGTTTTGTTTTTAAAAGGGACATTCCCGACAAGCAACGTCAATGCTTTCATGTTTGCGCGATTCACGAATCTTTTCTCACCAGACTGCTTTATAAACGAGGGTCAGACTCAGTATAAATCTGGTTTTGCTAAGAAGCAACTCCTGAAAAAAGAATTGGTACCAACTATTCAAGTCCCTGCTGCACCTCCAGAAGAAGTGAGTGTAAAATTGTATTAACCTTTATATTAAATTTTGCAAATCGCTTGCACGCTTCATGATGAATATGGCTAACGTTTACACTCAGGGTATATTATGGTATATTTTGTGTTATTACAAACTGAGTACGTATACATCAGTAAATACTTAGCATTCGGAAACGTCCATTCAGAAACGTCCTGTTCGAGCCTTAATTGTCAAACTTCTTTGCGGCCGTCATCTTGTTCCGAGTCCGACTCCGGTTCATACTGATATGATTACACAGATGTGTCCTCAGAGATTCCCGCTGCCATTCTTTCTCCAAAATATACCCTCAACTGTCAAAGCAACACTCCACGTGCGTTGTGTCAAAACGGCCCCAGAACCGAGGGGTGGAGTGAGCGAAGCTCATTATCATTTAAAGGCATATGCATTGAAACGCCATGGTTTTTACCAGGTAAAATTAGTGTTTTCTTACAATACTAATGATAATTTTTAAATAAAGTATATAACAAACTTTTAATTTAGACCCTAAAGAATCAAATTAACTAATGAAAATTGCATTATATGACCCATTTAAAACCACTGGCATTGCCACTCAAGGTATCGGCTATGCGCTTAAAACCCTAACAACAATATATGAAGAGTTTAGATGCAAAAGCCTCTAAATGCCATTTGAAATTTTCTTCTTTAATGATGATTTTTATCAAACTTGTATATTTAAGTTCAGTAATTTCATTTAAATAACAATTCATAGGTAGTTATCATTGTCATTTAAGTAAAATTAGTGAACTTAAATATACAAGTTTGATAAAAATCATCATTAAAGAAGAAAATTTCAAATGGCATTTAGAGGCTTTTGCATCTGAACCCTTCATATTTAGCCACTGGCCAGCCTGCTTTCTAGATCAGTATTATAAAAATCCATATCGTTCAACCATTAAAGAAAATGGCTTTCAGGAGATAAAAGTATCCATTTTCGCAAAGATATTTACTGCATCATTCAGCTGAATATAAACCACGTCGAATGAATTGTTGGCTGCTCATAAATCCAATTGCAAATTATATCTCTATGTATGCAAGTAAATGATCACGGGATAAAAACGAAAACAAAGCTTGTAATGTATCAACCATTTTTTTCAAGTATCTGCATGCCGCTAATATTTTTTCATGATCAAAACTCATTTGATCCACGTCTATAACAAAAAGGCGTTTGATGTTGTTGTTTGATGAATCGAATTAGAATAACAGACTACAATTTGCTGCTTATATTGTAAATTCTCCACTGTTGTTTGACATTCAGAGGGAAAGAGACTTCAAAGAGGTTCAGATGAAGGTATGTGTCACTGGCTAAAAAAACCCCCCCAAAAAAACAGTGTGAATAGGGATCCTAGACAGTGCATAAGTGAGTGTGTATGTGTGTGTGTGTAGGCAGATGAAAGGGAGCCGAAACACAAGACTGGAAAGGGGTTGCTCCCAATACTGTCGGCAAATCTAAACTAGCCTTTGATGCTTTTATTGTGTGTGTGTGCATGTGTGTGTGTGTTTCCGTGACTGTGCACGTGTTTAGATCTATGTCACCAATGCCAATAAGACACATAGTTAAGAATTAATCCTAGTGCATTATGCATGTATGTGTATGCGGTATGATTCCACATAAATGCATTTTCCTGCACCCAGAAAAAAAAACATACAGTCACATTCACTTCAACAAAGTCCCACTTCTCATCGGTGGCCACTGTGGACTGTGTCTTCATTTCACATTCACATTCTTGGGCATCTCTCCAAAGCCCAGCTTATGAATATCTTAAGGTACAAAGACCTAGGCTTTGGCAGTAACCGCTGTCAAATAATAACACCCCAAAAAGCAATGGATACCCTGCAGCAAGATCCACCGTCTTACGATGGCCAACAGCATCAAGAAAACATAATATGACACCTAATCAATGCCTGGCTGACCAATCCTGTGATTATCTCTGCTTTGAAATTCACTTGAGATATAAGATGAGCAATATCCACCAGGGCTGAAGATAAATCATAGAAGCAGGACATGAATATTGGGAAAATTGTGAGAATGTCACAGAGGTGTGCATCAACCAGAAAGCTGCGTTCAACTTTAAGCATGAAATTTAAGCAATAAGGTAAGCTACATCGTCAAGAGTAGTTTTACATCCTCTCTAATTCGTAAACATTGTGAACACAGCTGAAAGTCAAATAGTAAGGAAGCTAAAACTTGATTCTGTCTACCTTCTACACTCATGCTGGCCTTCTAAACACATTAGTTTGACCTCAAATAAGCAAACAATATATTTCCTATTAATATTTGACCTTGGAATAGATTTTATAGGTATTTTTCTAACATGTCAGAGCTGATTGCAGTTTTTTTTCATCAAAACCAATTCATATGAGCTCCACAATCAACAAAACTTACCTCTGAGAATGAATAAACATATATTAGACAGCTAAAGGTCACCAGCTGTCTGCAGCGGCACTAAACCCATTACCAGACCAGAATAAAATACAATGAAATATGAATACGTGCAATCTAGAAGTTATAAATAATCAGATAAAAAAATCAAATGTAGATAAAAGATCAGGACTGGACAAAACCATTTAGGTGATTATTGACAACCACTCAGACAAATAATATATATACAGTATATTGTATATATTAGTGCAGCCAAGCTGACTAATCGCATCTAACAGAAGTGTGTATTTATATCATATGTGTGTGTGTGTATACAAATTGTATAGCCTATATGAAGAGTTCAGATGCAAAAGCCTCTAAGTGCCATTTGAAATTTTGTTCTAGAATGACCATTTTTATCAAGCTTGTATATTTAAGTTCAGTAATTTCACTTAAATGACAATGAAGATTACCTATGAATTGCAATTTAAGTGAAATTACTGAACTTAAATACACAAGCTTGATAAAAATGATAATTTTAGAAGAAAATTTCAAATGGCACTTAGAGGCTTTTGCATCTGAACTCTTCATATAAAACCCCTCACATTTCAACTAACATTATAGCCTAGGTAATCTTTGTGGGGAGCAATCATTCTAATTCTCAAATCCTCTATAATTCTCAAAAAAAAAAAAAAAAAAAAAACATCTAGTGGTCAGTATGAGAGAATTGTACTCAGAGTCCAAATTGTAACTGTTCTAATACAAGATAAACAAATTTGTATGGTCCTGTCAAGCAGACAAAAACATAATCATGATGAATACATATGTGGCTTTTCATGCGTAAACAACGTACAGCTATTATCACTTAGGGTGTATTCACTTTTGTTGCCAGCTGTTGGACAGGACAGTAAAAATATACTGCAATACAAGCAGCACAATGACTACTCTAAAATATATGCAAGTTTCATTTCTATAGTGTTGTCCCTTGAGAAGATATACTAAAATGTTTGCTGAAATGTAAGGGGTGTACTCATTTTTGTGAGATACTGTCTCTCTCTCTCTCTCTCTCTCTCTCTCTCTCTCTCTCTCTCTATATATATATATATATATATATATATATATAGACAGTCTGTCACAAAAATGAGTATATATATATATATATATATATATATTAGGGGTGTAACGGTTCACAAAATTCATGGTTCGGTTCGATACGATACACTTGTGCCACCATTCGGTTCGATACGGCTTGGTACGTTTCCGATACAGCAAAAAGAAAGATTTAATTTTGATTTAATTTTTTTTAATTATATTTTTATTAAAACTAACATCATAAAGCATGATTTTTTTTTTTACTTTAAGCAATGATGGAGCTATACTTGACTTTTCTTAGGAGCTTATAAAACAAAACAGCTCCTTGGACAAAATGAAATATAATATTGTAGTAGTTATAAACAAAGGTTTATTTTAGTTCAGATTAACATTTGAGGGCAATTTTATTCATAATGTCAAAATAAAACCGATGTGATGTTACTTGAAAGCATTATAGCCTACTATTCCTGCCAAACTTCAATGGTTACAGTTAGTAGTGTTATACACTAAATCCATGGTGAATGTTGCTGATCTGTGGACACTGGATAGTTCATTCATGGCACAATGTGTGTTCCTGATTTCCACGTCAGCGCTGTTTGATTCGTTAATAACGGAGAAATGTGAATGTTTCTCACTAGATCTCGCAGCGATGTTATTACTTCAGTGGCGAATTTAAATATTTTCATTACAGGATTTGGCTGCATTGGTCTAAACTGATAAATGGTCTGTCAACCACACAATAACGAGTAGCTCAGTTTCGTTCCGCTTACATTACATTTGCCATTTGATGTTGGGCAACATTGTCATGCCAGCATCTCTTACATTATGAGCGCATTTGCCACGCACGACACGCCTACATTTGAAATAACGAAATTTTGGTCGGCAAGAACAATGGTCCAACGAACCGTTCGGTTCAAAAATGCGTACCTAAAACTGAACCGAAAGCCTTGTACCGAAGGTTCAAAACGAATATATATATATATATATATATATACTACTGTATATACTTAAATCTTAAAGTATATTCTTTTTGTGTTGCACAGAAGTATGCATCCCTTAAATTTCCTTTGAGTTTTGCAGGAAAACAAGGCAAAATCAGATGACCATAATAGTCATTTGTTTGACTGGTTTGACCTCATTGCGTTTGCAAGAACTGTCAGCTTTACAGTTGTTCGACCACATGTTTTCTGGCCCTCGCAACATCCACGTCTCTCCCGTTTTCTACAAACTACCTTTGAGTCACGGCACGCATCCCTGAGCTAGAAGTGCGCACGTCAGATTAGGTGATGTGGCCCGTTTCCTCCGCAAGGACAGCAGCATTTGCATACTGTTTGCCGCAGGTTAGCATGCCAGTCCGGCGGCTTGTATCACTATCAATCAATGTCACAATGAGAGCGGAGCAAAGAGCATTAGCTCGTGTCAGATCTCATCAGGGCTGATGCCAGACCAGTGCCCTCACTTTCCCAGGCCTGATGATAAACCTGAGCCACTCTTTCAACAGCGCTTCCAACGACTCTCTTCCCAAATGACAAAGCAGAGAAAAAACAATGTTTTGGCGGATGCATATGAATTCTAGGCAGCTTTAATTGATCACGAAAGGTTGGCTTTTTTTAGTCATGGCAGCTGTGCAATTACACATTATTGGACTCGAGTGCATTGCAGGGGAAAAGTATTGATTTTTACATAGCACATGACTGTTTTGTATGTCAAAAGAATGCTGCTGGCGTGCATACTGACGGATCACAGTAAACGATCGTTATGAAAAAGATCCTGCATGTTGTCCAGCCTGAGACCTTAATATGATGCTTTTACTGAAGGCTTGCGAAATGTAATACGCTTTTGCTAAAGGGAACATAAAACAAGCCATCAGTTCCACTGGCCTGCAAACATGAAAAAACAATAACAAAACAATATAAAAATACGATTCCATTAAAAATGCCTTGTAACTACACATGATTGAAGCTCCCCACAGAAGGAAATCCATCTAAAGCGGATAGATCTTGACTGGGGGCTGGAGTATATTTCAGAGCCACTTTTCCTGACTTGGCCATTGGCTGAGAAAATGCACGAGCAAAGGCTTACATTTCTTCTCATGGGAGTGAAGAGTACGCATCTAAGAATTGGAGCATTTAGGCATCCGCATTCAAAGACGCAATGCTGTAAAAAGGTCTGGGAAGAAAGCACTGCTCTCCATTTCTGTGTCTGTTGGTTTGTATCCTCTAAGGAGTCTCTGTGGATGCCTGGGCCTCTAAACTATCAGTGGTTGAAATGAATATACTGTTATTTACTGAAGCGGGCTGAATGGGAACGAGGAGCAGGTTTGCGAGTGAGAGAGCGAGAGAAGAAAATGATGACTCTTTCTTGTTCAGTATGCCTGTCAGAGTGCTTCACTGGCCTTCAAGCAATTAAACAACTCTTTCACTTCACACATATGTAAAACATAGACTTACTACTTTTATTTACAAGTGCAGAAAAAATATATATATATGGGGAACATGTATGTTAAAATGCTATGATTCCTTTGGCATTTTTATGGGTATAAAGCAGTAGTTTTAGTGCTTAAAACAATGCAAATTATGGAATAAAAGGCTAAATGTAACAAATACTATAAAAATAAAAGTATAAACTACTGTTGAAAAGTCTAAGATTTTTTTTTAATTAAAACTTTTATTCAGGCAGGTCATTAAATTGATCAAAAGTAACAATCGATTTCAAATAAAATTGTTTTTATTCATCAAAGAATCCTGAAAAAAAATATTTTCAAGATTTACACAAAAATATGTTTTAACATTAATAGTAATAAATGTTTCTTGAGCATCAAATCCGCATATTAGAATGACTTCTAACGGATCATATGACACTGAAGTCTGGAGTAATGTCATTACAGGAATAAATTACATTTTAAAATACATTTAAATAGAAACAAAAAAGAAATGGTATATTTTTTTTTTGTAATTTTGATCAATGAATGATTGGAATTTACATAGGAATTCTTTAAAAAACAAAAAAATTCTTACAGATCCTACACTTCTGAAAGGTATGTACACACTAACACACACACACACACACACACACACACACACATATATACATATACACAAATAAACTGAAAAAAAAAAAACAACAACCAAAAAAACAGGCATGTTTTCTATAATATTTAGGGTATTATGTTTTTTCTTTACAGAAGTTGCAAAATGTTTCTATTCAGCCTTTGTAATGCCACTTGATGATACTAGAAGCTCTAATGTGCAGGTTGTGTACACAAGTAAAAGCTGTTGAAAAGTAAATGAGGGATGGATGGTAAAAGAGTGAGAACCTGTGCTGTGTAAGGCATGCATTAAGACTTACTGATGAAGTTGGTCTGGCCAGTGTAGATGGTGTACTGAAGCTCATAGGAGGTGACGCTGAATTCATCTTCAGAAGTCCAGTGCACTGTAATGGTGTCATGAGAGGCTGTGCAGAGCTCTTCACGTATAGAGGGAGGGTTGGGTGCTGGAAAAGAAGGCAAGCGTCAAGACAGGATGTATTGATTTGGTTCTGAAAAAAAGGATGGCTGATGTAATTCTGGCCATGTATTCATTAACTTTGCACTAGATACAAGGAACGCACGCACTTGTTGAAGGTGGTTTCAGATTTCTCACTGATTTTACCTGTCAAGTAATCCAGTCCTTCCAAGATTTTCTTTTCTCTGGAGAAATCAAGGGCAAAATTGTCAAAAGCCTGGTTCAGATTGACGTCTGGGATGAGGACCTGGGAGGAGGCGGTGGCCATGGCAACTCTGTGTGGAAAGAGAGGCACTGGCAATTAATTTATAAATGTTTCTATTTACAACAGCCTATTTACAGGCAGTAGGCTGGATGTGATTTCACCCAAAGTGACAGAAATATAAACAGCATCTGGCCTGCTTTAATCGTACATCGATCAGTAGTGAAGATTGCCAGGTAGTCTGAGCCGTGTGTTTCTGTTTGAACCAATTCAATGAGTAGAGATATACATGTGTACGACCGTGCTTGAGCGTGACATTTCAGGAACATATGGGACAGGACCTCTGACCTTGAGGGCCGTTAAGTTTTGGCCAGTTTATTTTAGTATTAGTTTTGTCCTTGTAGAAACAGAACAGCAGAAAGGACCTTACCTGGACACAACTTATAAAGAACAACCTTGAAAATAGTATAAAGGCCGTCTCATCTCTTCCTATCTTTGTCAATCTCATGCACAGCGTAACTTCTGTGTGTCAGACTGAACCTACTCTTGCAAGAATAACTCATTTTAAAATGACAGTTTGTCTCAGAATGTCTTTTACGCAGTGATACTGGTTGGTTAATGATTTTTTTGCCACAGCAGGCCACACTCAAATGCAGAGAAATGTGTTCAGCAAATTCAGTCAGTAGGGATACTTAAAACCAATGACATTTTAAGGTTCTACAATAAACACAAATGCTGTTGACCATACTCCTTGGTTTACACTGCCTGTTTAAATATTAATTTAAATATTAATAATAGGGCTGTCAAACGATTAATCGTGATTAATTAATTTAAATATTAATAATAGGGCTGTCAAACGATTAATCGCGATTAATCGCATACAAAATAAAAGTTTGTGTTTACGTAATATATGTGGGTGCACTGTGTATAATTATTATATACAGGTATATATAAATACACACACGCATGTACATTTTTAATAAATATTTTCATGTATATACTGTATTTAGATTTATATATCATTTATATCATATATAAATATTTCATATATAAATAATATTTTTCTTTCTTAAATATACATGCATGTGTGTGTGTATTTATATATGTACAAAATAATTATGCACCCACATATATATTACGTAAACACAAACTTTTATTTTGCATGCGATTAATCGTGATTAATCGTTTGACAGCCCTAATTAATAATAAATATAGTAATAATAAAACACACACACACACACACACACACACACACACACACACACACACACACACACACACACACACACACACACACACACACACATATATATACAGTATATATATATATATATATATATATATATATATACACACACACACACACGCACACACACACACACACACACACACATAAACATATATGACAGTACATATAAAGTGAACAGTCACAAGTACAGAACATTTTTTTCTTCTTTTATGTCAAAATTGTTGTTTTATTAATAATATTGTACACCCAGCATCAGGTCTATTATGTTGCATCTACACGGTCTAATGCACAGATATGTCAAACTGTTTACATGCATTGCTCACCAAGACAGGCATTTTTACCAAGAAGTGCATTTGACTGTTCTCACACACTGTTGTATCACCGTAAGGCATGTGCGTTTGAACGGATGCATTAGAAAGCTGACTCAATATCCTAACAGTCAGTATTGCAAAAAGCCAAAAAAGGCATTTGGAGAGGTGATTATAAGGCTTATAATAGCAAAGGTTTGATAGATGACAGTCAGACAGCACAAGAAAAATCCCAGTTTTGTAAAACGCATGACACCTCAAAGTCTTTCTCCACACCTGATGCTGCACAAATCAAGTTAAATATTGAGTCCGGAAGGCATATTTTGTATTATTGTGAATATAAGCCACAAGCAACGGAGCTGAAAGGAGGGGGCGACACCAGGAAATGTGCAGAGTAGCTGAAAGTTGCCTTCACGCTGGCAGCGGTAAGATGTGCAAGTGTGTGTGTGTGTGTGTGCAGTCTCACCTCTCAGCCACATTCCTGGCCGTCTGGAGAAAGCGGGCGTGGTCGTTCTCCTTCAGGCTGTGCTCAGCCTGTGTGATGAGGGCACTCGAGCGCTCCAGGCACTGTCTGCAGTTCGCAATCTGCTGAGCCAACTTCCTCAACTTCATCACCTAAACCCACACACAAACCTATTACAATCTATTGAGAGATTTAAGCAACTTGTTAAGCTATTAATATTACGTATGTTTACGTTTTTCAAGATGTTTGAAACATAATAGACCTTTAATGGAGCTTTTTTTTTCAATCAAAAACTCATTATCGGCCCTTGGCTCATAATTAGAGCTAAATGAGCGCTTTGCTTTGTTTGCTTTTTTGTGTAATTACAGCAGAGAAACAATAAAGTGATGGATTCGAACACTCTAATTGTAAAAAAAAAAAAAAAAAACACACAGAACAATCTTTAAGGACTCATATAAATGTTGAAGTAGCACTGTTAAAAACTAACTTCGAAAGGAAAATCGAATGCATATATTAATGCTGTATTGAGCCAAATCAATTAGACAAAGTCTCAGAGATGTTATCAAGAAAAGAGTAGGGCACTGCTGAACAAAGAATCTAATTTAATGTTGAAATAGCTTTAAATGTTTAATATTTCAAGCGTCTAGCTGGGTAGCTTTTCAGATTTTCCCTGAAAATTCCTCTCTCTGCATTAATATACGTAGACTTAATACAGATTTAACTGATGTGTGGTCACAGGTCAGCTTATTTCGGCTACTTTAAAAGGACTTCAAATGTGGCTTATCCAATTAGAATTGACTAGTATTAGATTCATAGTGTTTCTGATTATGCTTAGTTTGCACTAATCCAGGCTTACTGTTTTATATAGTTATACTACTGTTAAAAAGTTTGAGGTTGGGAAGATGTTTCTGAAAATGTCTTATATATGAAATCATTGCTGGTTTAAAAGTTAAAAGATGTTAATTTTTCTGGAAATTGATACTTTTTTTACAGGATTCGTCGATGAATCGAAAGTTTAAAGTAACTTTGTTGATCTTTTACAAGATGAATGTCTTTACTGTTTTGATCAATTTAATGCATCCTTGCTGACATTTTTTTAAATGACTGGGCCCAAACTTTTTTAATAAATAGTGTATAAGAATATAATTTGGTTTGTTTCCATCAAGATTCATTTAAAAAATAAATGAATCAAATGTAATGTTGTGCATTTGGTCTGCAAAGCATATATAATTCTCTAGATTTTCCAAATATAAACATTACTACATCCCATGCTTCATTATGAAACATACTGAGTTGAATTAACAGAAAAAATAAAATAATTTCCAGCTATATAAAGCAATCCTATATATACCACTGACATAATGTAATATATTCAATAGCATGAAATAAGATTTTGCTCATACCGCCCACATTACCTGACCACAGATTCACTATGAATTACCTTTCACTCATGTAACCGGCCGCATGTTTCATGTGCGTATACATTATTATTTTCTTTTAAGAGAGAATGAGAGACATTAGCTATGCTTCCTCAATAAGCCAGTTAAATCGGTTAAGCAGGATCTAGCCCATGTCACAGTGTAATTCAATAGAGTTATGTTTGACAGGAAGGAATCGTTGGAAGCATTCGGATAAATCAAGCAAATAGGAGAGAAGAAAACGTTGCTCTGTGCCGCAGTGGATTGCATTAGATCAAATACGAATATGACCCCATTTCTTAAAGACAGCTTCAAATGATTTGCTTTGATTAGATGATTTACTGCCAAAAAGTTTCGAACTTCCAACACGGCATAACAAAATTGGACTGCATAAGAAAAAATAAATAGAAAACCATTCAAAAACAAACCAGTAACAAACCTGGCTGAACAGCTAAAGCCTTAGATCAAATCTTACAGATGCTGTGCATCTGGGTTTATGATTCCAAAAGCCTCCTTAATACTAGTTACAGGCACTTTGTGCTGTAGCTGCATTACTGATGTTTGCAAAAGACCAGGCATAATCTCATGTTGCAGGCTGTGCATGTCAACTCAAGGATGCCATGCGGGAGTACATCACTGAAGGCCTTACGTAGACACTTCTGATGGAGATTACTGCATTTGTCTGGGACTCTCACATTAAACAGAGAAACGCAGGCCTGTCTCGTAGCTCAAATCCCTACTTGATAAGAGCGTGAATTCAGGCTGTCAAGATAAAGTGCCTGTGTGCTGGATGCTCACTGTCAAACACAAAACACAACACAGATGAACTGGAGCACAAAATCTGACTCTTCAGTTTTGGTAAAGAAATTTGGACACAATTATTTTCCTACTGTAGTGTAAAGTCCTATGCTTATGGAATATTGATTTACATTTATTTTACAGTACATTTATTTTGACTGCAAACACAGCACACACACAGTAAAACAAATGTACTGTAAAGCACTATAAAAATCTAGCCTGGCTAATGCCAGACCATGTATCATTGAGAATGAGACATGGTCTGGAAACCACATGTTCATGTTCTCGTATTTGAGGCGTGGTTTACGAATGGCCAGAGCCGTATTATTGGGTGCTACAAATGTCTATCAAATGCGTCTGCACGTAGCTCATAGCCAATTGGTTCAATGATACCAGATGACGTATGTAGAGCGACAGAAAATTAGACGATGAAGACGACGATGAGTCAAAGATTTAGGAGATTTATGTATACAAAAAATGTGTTTCTCAATGTCAAGGATACTTCCTTGGCAGGACGGGTCCTTCCAAGTCATTTCCTTCAGGGGCTAGATGAGGCTCCTCTTTAGTATTCGGAGAACACGTAAAAAAAACAGGCTAGCAAGTGCACGTCATTGCGTCATTACATTAGTGAAAGGTCCGCTTTCGGTGCTCCAAAAATGGTAGTGCTACTGGTTTGGTTGCTGTACCGCACTGTTTAAACACACTTGACAGTCCTTATTTTGTCTCGTCAGCCCTCATAGAAATAAATAAAAAAAAGTAATGTATAGCGAGACGGTTGTTATAGCGAAAACAACCCCGCGAATCGGAGGCGTCTTGACAGGGATCCTGCAGGGTCTTAAAAAGCCTTAAAAGCATTGAAGTTATTAATTTGAAAATAATACCTTAAAAAGACTTTAAAAAGTCTTGCATTTTGATGTCTGGGTCTTGAAAATTGTGTCGTAAGTAACTTTTCCGTATTGTATTTTTCCTCATTGTTCAACGACGATTATTTTGATAAAGAGTGGCGAACGCAACGCAGCCTCGGGTCACAGTACAAAATACTGCGAACACGTGATGCCTTCAGGAAATGAAGTTCACACGCTACAGCACCACAACCATAGACTGCAACACAAAACAACACAGACCTAAAGCACCAAGCAAAGGAGAAGCGCAGAAAATCAAAGAAAATCTATTTGATTAAAAACTAATGACTGACGCCATTATATTTTTAAGTTTGTTCTACATTAGCTAGCTACCAGTTTTAGTCTGAGGTTATGGGAAAATGTAAATTTAATAGAGCATGGCTGGATAAAAACTATTCGTCATTGGTTTAAACTAGTGGACAACAACGTTTTTTTAAACTTTTTGCACCATATACAAAAAAAAAAAAAAAAAGCTAGGTACAAAAGCTAGGATTCAGCTAGGTACAATGGGAATGAAGGCATTAGAGTCAAGTCGTCAAGTCACCCAAGCACATGAACGCTCTCAATGGACAAAACAAACTCCTTCCATCGCCTGCGTGTTTCAGTCAACTAATGTTAGCCAGCTAGCTGCTAATGTGCCTGTTTGGCATATCTTTTACACATTCCACATTTGAAAAATAAATTAACACAAGTTCAAGGATTTTTTTGTTTTTCGTTGCTGGAAGGGACGTGAAATAGGTATTAATATATTATATTATTGGTCTTAAAAAGGTCTTCAAAAGACTTGAATTTAACTTGAAGATACCTGTATAGCCTGCTTGAATCTGCCTGAAGGGGTTGTATTCGCTGTAACAACTGCCTCACTATACATTTTCCCACTAATAACATGGCTACCTACCAAATAAATCAATAATTTGAATAAAATCAGGCTGCGGAAAGGCAGCATGGGGAAACCCAGGCTAGTAAAAATCCCCCTTTTCTTCATACTTGCAAATTAACATTCCATTGTTTTATCTTTAGTTTAGCATTAGTTATATTCGTAAGTGTCTATTTTTTAGTGTCCCACAGGAGAACAGTGCTGTCAAGTGTTCTGGCCTGCTGTTTACAGTATGTTTTTGCTGATGAAGATTATCTAGGCCCGGTTTCTGTTACACAAGGGAAGCTTCTTAAGTCATGCCACATGGCCAGAGTCCGCTTCAAGCAGCCAAGCTTCCTGTCATAACCTCAACAATCCTGTTCAAATAGTATCTTTACACTTCACTGCAACCTCACTCGATGGCCACCTCACTTTGGCCTGTGGACTTTCTGACAAGATCTCTACAGCCAAATGATGTCCTCACAGCCATAGTATTTACTCATCTGCACCAGCTTAACCTTAACACACGCTCAAAAAAGGGAGTTTTTAATTCACACAGGGAGAATATGCTGTGATTTCCTCAGCCTTTTCTCCATCTTGTCATCAGGCACATCACCTATCTCTCCGCACAGCGTAGGGTCCAAAAGAGCCTGACAGTCTCTATCTTGCTCTAACAGGGGTAGTGACATGTTCTGAAAGATGTGTTAGAAATGTCAACTCTTTATTTGTGCGCCTTGTGACATATTGTCAAAAATCAAATTCAAATAGGTTTCTCTAAGAGAGTGAAGGCTTGAGCTCTGAAAGTATGTTTCTCTCCCATGTGTTTTAAAGGAAACATTCACCCAAAAATGAAGCCTGTCATCACTATTTACCCACTCTCAAGTCATTCCAAACCAGCATGACTTTCGTTCTTCTGTAGAAGATGTTTGGAGGAACTGTTTTTGTCGATACAATGAAAGTCAAAAGGGTACAAAACAACACTGGACCTCCACTTACATTCATTGTTTGGACAAAAAACACTGAAACTTTTTTTTTTTTAAGTATCTTCTTGAATGAGCCTAATTAAATGATGAAATTTCCATTTTTAGGTGAAAATTGAAAGAAGCTAAAAAGTTTTAGCTTCCACCTTGATATTTATAAATTGAAAAGCAAATCGAAAACCTTCCTAAATATGACTCAAGTGCGAGATACAAGTTTGCCTTAAAATTACAATTCTGGCCGCCCTAATCTTTTTTTTCGGTGGTGCAAATAGAGAGAAACTGTACCTTGGATTCTTTGATCTTGACAGCAATGACCTGTTTCCTCTGGCGAATTATCTCCACCAATTCATCACACTCCTCCACCAGCTTGGCTTCATGCATGGCTGTGTTCACCTGCAGATAAGAAAAAGAGTTGCATGAAGAAATACAATGGCACTTAATCAGTCCAGTGAGATAAATAAGTTTCCCCAGCGTCTCTGCTTCAGTTTATGCAAAATGTCCTGCCTGGAGTGATGTGGACCATGTCATTACAGACATTTCAGACATTCCTTACTCATATATTCCCTGTAAGTAATTACAGAAGGTAGTGATATCCCATCAGAAATCCATCAATGTACTTTACCCATTGTTAACGTGTTACCCAATCCATACACAAAGATTATTATTCAAGATTGGTCCACTTCGTTTGTCTTTATCAGACACACCTAAATAAAGAGATACATTTAATAAAACAATTAATTCACACCATTCTTTATTACTGTCATGGCTTCGATCCCATTTAAAATGATAATTTTCACAGGGCAGCCCATTTGTGCAGTCAATAAATTCATCAAACATAGTAGGGATGAACCAATATGAACATTTTGGCCGATACTGATAACCGATAATTCTTTATATTTAAAAGCCGATAACCAATATATAATTTATAATTCCAATTTATGTCATTTTTGAGACCCTGATTACAAAAACAAAAGTCTCACCATTAAAAGCCATGTCCCAAACACAGAATTATAATGACAGACTTGCTGCACATGTTGTACTGAACTGTATTTTTCTTTTTTTAAGTGATTTCCTTCATTTTTCAAACCATTCAAAACCATCACGTTGAATAGTGCGCATCTGAAGTGTCTCAGCTGAAGGATACATTATTTATATAAATCCATTATTTATCAGCTTCGATATATCAGACAAATATTCGTGGTGACACTTTACAATAAGGTTCATTAATTCCAACATTTACTAATACGTTATTAAAATCAAAGGTTGTATTAGTTAACATTAGTTAATGGACTGTGAACTAACATGAACGCACAATGAACAGCTGTATTTGTATTAACTAACATTAACAAAGATTAATAAACACTGTAACTCATGCATTGCTCATCGTTAGTTCATGTTAGTTAATGCATTTACTAATTTTAACTAATGAACCTTATTGTAAAGTGTTACCATTTTCGTATTAGGCAGATAACGATAACATTAAAAATGAACTGATATTGTCCGATATGAAAAATGAACCGATATGGTGAGTGATATATTCTTAAAACATATGCATCGTTATAGTCATAAAAATGCTAACTTTAAATCAAACTGCCCAATTTAACAACCATTCAGTCTTTCACAATGAAAGATTGGTATTTTGCACAAAGTTGCGCATTTATTTTCTTTTAGATGATTCGCTATCATTGATCCCACAATGCCTGGTACAATTCTATCGCTCAGCTGATCACGAAAATGGATATCTAAAAATCAAAAAAGCCAGAGAACACATATAGTTAGTCTGAAGCACAGCAACCTTCTCTCCCTATCCACCACTATCGCTGTGCGTTCTGGCTCAGTGGACGAGAGCAGTGATGGATGTCTCCTAGAGTTGATGTGTTCCTTATCAGACCTCTTAGCACGCCGTCCTTCCACTGGGGATTAAATACATCCGCATAGCTTTTCTAGGGACTATTAAGGACTCTTCTGAGGTTGGTAGGGAAGTGATGTGTGACCCCACTTTACCGTGAATCCCACACCCTTCTGGCCTGCTGTAAGTCAGCAAAGACCCTGAAGGCTGACTCGACTCGCACTTTGGCAGCTGCATGCTGACACCTATAAATTGTGGTGCTGCACACAGACACTTAGTCTATGCATTTAGACTGGTCTGGACTCTGGACTGGATTAATGTTTATTGGACACTCAGGAAATACTGCATCATTGTGGATTGGGGTCTTGTGCCAAATAAAAAGAGTCTACAATCCCTTACAAATACTTATGCTGGATACTTACTTAACATGGATTTTATTTAAAAACTTAATACAGTATGTTGAACATGTTAAGTTGCAAAATGGTCCCGATGGAGCAAGCTGGGGTATTCAAAACTACATTAGACAACTACATAAAAATACATTCAATGTAAATATAGTTTAGAATACCCTAGCTTGCTCCATCGGGACCATTTTGCCAACTTAACATAGTGCCTTTGTGACATTGTACAATGTAGGCCATTTAATAAACTAAGGAAAACCAGTGCTTGAAATGGTGAAAACATTTTGAAGTAATATGGTAGTTTGAAAAGTTATACATCTGAATCCAGACAATGAAAGGGAAATGTGGTGGGAGGTAAAGTAAAACACAATATTGAGGGATAAATAAATGTGAGAAAGAAGACAAATAACAATTCAGAACACAAATATTTTCATGATGTAATCTTTTTTGGATAAATTATAAATGCATATCAAGCAGTGTCAATTCAATGTTCAATGCAATAAACAATGTAGATAAAGATTACAATTTGTGGCGAGCAGGATGAGACCATGAGAGATATGAGACCGATACGTCTCACAGGTGTTGCTCATCGTTAATCACGCCACCGGCCTCACGTCGCTCTCTCACGTCCCTTGGCCTCGTCTTGCTCGCCACATATATTAGGCGGAAACCTAGTTATCTCCATATTTCGGCATTTTTTTATTTTTTATAAATCATTAAATGTAGTCACCCTTTACGTCTCTCTGTGGGTTTTGCAAATATTTAACCAAATAAAAAAAGTAAAAAAAAAAAGTAAAAAAAAAAAAAATAGCTTGTGACTAAACCTTGTAACCCTTTTTGATCCTCATATTGTCAGTCAAAGCACTAATTTTGGACCGTCTCTGCTTGTTCGCAATGCAACAAATATAAAGAACTGTTTGTTTGAATAAGTAGTTTTCCTTACTAAAACACTATATACAAACAGTCTAGTATTGGTCGTAGTTAGTTAGCCAGTTAGCCTGTACGTAGTCTTTAAAGTCTTTTTATATATAATGTCTTTATGGTGTGAGGCAAGTTCGTTACTGATAAATGTAAGTAAAACAAAAGAGCTGATTTTAAATTATTCAGAGCCCCTATCAGAAATAATGCTATGTGATCAAAAAGTTGAAATTGTTAAGACTTTTAAATATCTGGGAACTATGATTGACTGTAATCTGAATTTCTCTGACAATATCATTCTGATTTGTAAGAAAGCAAATCAAAGGTTATACCTGTTAAGGAAGCTGAGAGAATTTTCTGTAAGTCAGGATGTTCTGCAAAGAGTATATACAAGTTTGATCGAGAGTGTCATAGGGTATAATATAACTGTGTGGTTTGGACGAGCTACATATATGAATAAAGTAAAATTAGACAGAATTACAAGAGTTGATGGAAAAATTAAACAAAAATCGGTCGCACAGTTATATCAAATTGCTGTTCAGAGGAAAGCTTTGACTATAGCAAGAGATACATCACACCCTTTGAATCATGTATTTGAATTATTGCCATCACGTCGTCGTTACAGAACTCCAAAAGCTATTAAAGCAATATATAAACAATCTTTCGTACCAAATGCAATAAGTCTTTTAAATAAAAGGAAGAAATTGTGATTGTGATTATTTTAAGCATATATGTTTATGTATTGTGTGTTGTTAATTGTTTTTTGTGATTGTAATTGCGAGACCAAAGACCAATTTTCAGCCAAGGCTGAACAATAAAGGCTTACTTACTTACTTAATAAAATGAGATTTTGGCCAAATGGCAGATAAAACTGAGCCCTCAAGTAGGAACAGCAAATGCTCTAATGACGGCAAACAGACTTATAACAGAAATTCTCAGAAATTTGCTGGTCAAAAAACCTTGTAACTTAATTTAACATATATAAATCCACAAAATCAACTTTGACAACACATTGTTATTTAAAAAAAAAGTGTTTTTAACCATTTTCCAGAAAAGTAGTATTTTTGGCAAAACAAGGTCACAGTGTGTATACAGTCACACACTGCATTACTGTATATACAATTATATAACTAATTATATAATATAAAAAAGTAAAAAATATTAAATAATATAAAAAGGTTTTAAAACTATATTGCAGGTATTTGCAGACTTAATCCAGAATATTGCAGTAATTTTAGAAATATCAATAATCCTCTTTGTAAGTGCTATATAAAAAAGTAACACACAAACAAACATTTATTACCACTTTTAGTCCTGTTATCCAAGATTCTTAAAGCAAGATACATTTACCTGAAAAGCAAAACTGAGTTATACAATAATTAAAATAATAACTAATATAAAAAAAGACAAACTGTCAGATACCATTTATGGAATTAAAAATACAATTTTTTGCAGTATTTAATTCCACAAGCATAGGCAGTGGGGATTTTTTTGTGTGTGCACATATAACTATAAAAAGATTCAAGAATGCCTGCACACATTTTGGATTAAGCCCAGATGATAATGTGCACCGCATGTGGTGACTGCCGCAAGACTCATTATTGACGAAGCTCATCAATTCCTGACCTTTATCTCTTCATATTGCCAAATCCTTAATCTGCTAATCCACAGGGCGGGAAAGACACTGGCCGCTATACAAAGGTTGTTAATGAGCTCCAGCGGTTCAGTTTGGGTACATAAACAATCCAAAAGTGCTGTTGAGCAGATGCCACTGAGCAGAGGTCTGTTTTTCTGTGGCAGCTCTGATTACTGTGTACCTTTCCCATATGCTGACAGATGGGGCAGGTCTGAGTGCTCTAAGTGCACGGCTGTACAAGGCGCTCCTATGGGGCCTGTCTCATCACCGGAGAGTCCAAGTTGCCCTGTTAAAAATGGATGAGGGAGAGGCATATGCATCACTGCATGGAGGCCCTCACCACATTGCTGCACACATGTACTCTTGGTGAAACAGCAACAAAACAAAGTGTCCCTTTGCACCACAGGGCTAATAACCCAGTGGCCCAGAGAGAGCACCTGGAATATCAAGCAAGGGACTGATGGAGTCCAGGCTTCAAATCACCAAAGCTAAAATGGAAATTGGGAAGTGCTAAGTTCCCTAGACACCTTCAGTCCCCTGACAGCATCCCTCATGAGTTATTTATACACAGACACTCTTAGGACATTTCCTAAAACACTTTGTCTAATGGAATCCATAGAAAAAAATCGGCCATATATGCTTTGTTTCATAGAACGCTTACACAGACGGCTGTAAACATCTCTGCAGATGTTCCTCTCATACAGCACAAATGCCGAAGGGTCCGTTTGATGTATGATTTCATCTGGATAACGTAATTTGTAGAGAGTTTGCATCTGCAATACATTGCATTTATTCACCGTTGAATGCTATTTGAACTATATTCAAGCAGATGTTTCTGTGTAATTCTGCTTTGAGATTTTCTAATGTTAGCAGATGTAACCCTTAAAATAGAAAGTGATGCGTTCCAGATGATGCCCTTATTGACGGACATCTTAGGGTCATGCCCAGCTATATACTAGGGAAAGTAGATTCAAAGTAATGATTTGTGTTCAATACACATTGACTCAATTCAAGGTTTTATACAAGTTTAAACTAGCAACTGTAAAACTGCTAATGATGCTGAATATGCTTCTTAACTTGAACGATCCACATCAAAAACCAGACAGCTTCTTGCATCTCTCACATGGGCTGTCTTGTGAAAACGATTGACAGGCAGAAAGCATAACAAAGTCTTTTGGTTGGCTAAATTGGGTAATTGGGGCATTTTTTTTTTAATTATTACATAAATAATTCATAGCACATTCACATTCTATTATCAGCATATGTGGCAAAATGTGAATTACCATGCAAGATAATTCTGATTTGTATGCTTTTTGGGTCTCAGTTTGGCCACAATAATACACTTACAATTGGAACTCAACTATAGCATCATTATAAGGGATTTAAAAAAATAAACAAAAATTAATGAAAATTTCGCCATAATTTGACATTCTTAGAATGTTTCAAATATCTTTGTACATTTCATGAAAGTCAACGGGATGAAAAAACAACAAAAATACAAATTGACCTTACTGATGTCCATTGTAAGAACATAAAACAACATTGATTTCTCATAAAAGTTTCTTTTGAGTTCCACTGAAGAAAAAAAGTCAAGGGTTTGGAGCGACGGTGAGTAAATGATGTGACATTTTTATTATAATCATAAATGCGAAACTTGTATTTTTTTTGTTAAAGCAGTTACATACAGTAAATCATTTAATAAAAATATTCATAATTTGAAAAGTAAAGGCGTTCTCCTTTTTAAGGTATGGATAGAACTGAACTGAATATATTATGTACTTTATCATGACTGCAAGAGTAAAGAGAATTTAACTGGCTGATTGAAAAGTAAAACTCTAGATGTTGCATTTTGATGCACATTTTCTGTTAATGCCACTTCATACATAAATTCAAAGGAAGAACAAAGTTCACAGCTGAGGGATTTTGGGTCAAACCTTGGACAAATTTAATATGACATGAAATCTGCTTTAACATTATCACACCTAATTAATTTGATCCTCAATAATTTACTGTGCCTTTCAAATAAACATGACAAAGCAGGCCTGGCCTTCAAGAGACATCTGATGACTGAAAAGCTGTTTAATAATTATTCTACTACAGTCAGGCCTGAATAATGGATCTAGACTTTAATAATTAAGTAGAAAAATCACACGAAACTTAAGGGTTTTAAATCACCTTGAGGGAGTTCAATACATGTAGCTGGGGATTTACTGCAGAAAGCTTTTTAAATGCTTCAAAACTGTACGCCATCTTCAACACTAACTCACTCAGCTGAGTTGTGAGCTACATTCTTTGTGTGCTTAAAGCAGTCGGTGCTATGCAGAGATTTTTTTTATGTGCGGTTCAGCAGAGGTTAGAGACGTGATACGCATGCAGTCCCCCGGGGTTTCAACAAGACGGATTCAGCTAATGAAGTAACAATGCCTTGTCACCTGCTTTCTTTTCTCAAACGCCAAGGACACCCATCCTGACAGAGTCATTAAAAAGGATGCTCACATTTGAATTTCCCTTGTGCCTGATGTCTTAGTGCTGATCTTAGTGTCATTTCTGGAGTAAGAACAACTTATTCAGTCGATGTTCAAGGTGACATCAAGAAAATGCTTAAATATATCCCTGGTGCCTAGTTTGTCCTGCCTTTAATAAGCTTTGATTCAAAGATAAATACTAATTGACTTTCAAAAGAACCGTTTATCATGTGTGCTGATGTGTATGCATAAATATGCCACATCATTACCACACAGCAGCTGCAAATATAGACCTTATGCACCAGAGAACAAGTGCGCAACCATCTTAAAGGAGCATTTCACCCATTTCAACATTAATCTTTATTGAAAGTGGATCATATACTGTATGTAGTTAAAGAATCTGTTGAATTTAGTGCCCTCTTGACCGAGAAAAGACTTGTATGAAAAATGAGATTTGTATGAACGACTACAACACCCACAATGCACCACATTGCATAGCTTAATGCAAATGGGGTAAACGAAGTTCCATTTTTGCAATAGCTCTATATATTGATATGACATCGCCATCAACAAGTACTTAGCTTGTGATGTGGATTTATCTATTATAGAAATAACAAAAGTTACCATGAGCACTGTAATGTTTGAAGCAGATGTCATAAGAAATGTCAGTAGGCCGAGAAGATTTTAAAACGAGAGGTGGATTAATAAATCTGTAAGATATTACATTCATGCTGTGGAAATACAAACCGGAACGCAAAAAGCACAGCGCTGAAAAGGGGCGGGGCTAAGCATTTAAGATCACTGTAACATCGATAATAATAATAATAAAAAACATTATAAAACATGTTAATGTGTTAACACCTCACTTTTTTAGCAATTTAATACAGCCTTGCTGAAAACTGCTGAAAGGTGATATACATTTATATGTCTTACAATGGACCGGTGGCTAACATTTAGAGAGATTTCAGCGTTCAGCTTTAAGCAAGACGAAAATCTTCAGTGCTCAGACATCTATTTTGTCTGAGGTGTATAATTGTGTGCATACTATTAGTTAAAGCAGACTGTGTGAGTGTGTGTTTTGATTTGATTTGGTTGAAGATACGATCAAATATATGGACGAAACCAGGAAAATCTAGAAGGATATCATACGTTTTATGCATAAAAGCCAAACCAAGGAATTAAGATAAACCAAATGGGTATATCTATAAATAAAACAAAAGAAAAACAATAACAAAAACAAGGGGATACTTTTCTGTTTGTACAAGCAACTGTACACACCTCTATTAAACTGTACAGCAGGAAGTCTTTTCAAGGTTTTTTTCTCTCATGCAGAACATCAGTTAATTTAATGTAAAGTCTATTTTATTCACCAATAAATCATATTGCTACAATCTTCTAGCCTTTGGCTCAGCAGTTCAATTGAAAGAAAACGAATGTCAATACAGGACTAGAGGACACGCCATGCAAAAGCTGCTCATACAGGCGACTACTCGAGTGTGAATTTATATTAAAAAAAACAAACAAAAAAAACATTTGTTGATACATGAAAAAACCCCACACAATCATATTCATAACGTTCATAGCCTTGAAACTGTAAAGCATTTGTTGCTCAAAAGGGCAAGAATTCAGAACCATGTTGTCACTAAATATTTAATTGTAAACTACTTTGTATGTATAACTTTCAAAAACACATCTGCAGATGTGGGGAAATAACTGGAGGTGGAATGAAATGAGAATGATGATGGTGATGTGAAGGATGAAGATTATAATGATACATTTGCTTGGACTCACCTCCACCTGTTGACAAATCTGGATGAGTTTGGCCATCTGGTTCTCCAGCTCACTGTTCCTCTTCACCAGATTGGTTAAGTTATTCTCAAGGGTTTGCTGTTGGAATGGCAGAGAAATGGCACTTAGACAGATTGAATCACTCTTTCTGTCTATATATATATATATATATATATATATATATATATATTCAGTTCAAATGTTTGGGGCATTTTTTAAAGAAATTAATACTGGGGTTATTCACACATTAAATTGACAAAGTAATAAAAAGTCCCTGAGCAGCAAATCAAAATCTTATACTGATTTCTGAAGGATCATGTGACACTGAAAATTTATATTTGCCATCACAGGAATGAATTACATTTTAAAATACATTCAAACAGAAAACAGTTCTTTTAGATTTTAATGATATTTCACAATATCACTGTACAGGAATAAGTGATTTTCAAAATAAAAATAAAAATTAAAAGTCTTACAGACCCCACACTTTTGAATGGTTTTGTATATAACCCAACTGTAAAATAACACTTTTATGCCATTACTATAACATTGAATGCACACTTCTAAAATGTAGAGCTAGAAAACAGGCTTTTACATTTGGAATTAAAAACTATATCTGATTGAAAACTGTAGATGATATCTGCTCTCATCTGAGAGCGTCGGATCTGTCTTTTTCATGAATTAAGGAATGACAATGTTAGTGTAGGTGCGCCGATAAATCATACAGAGTCCACAGAGATCCCACAAAGACGGATTAGATTCAAAACAAGCAACTAGCAGCAAATTAGTTCCACACGACAACCACTAATCGTCACTAACGAGAAACTGTGTGCGCTGGGCTGAGTCCTAATTCATGAGCTCTGATTTGTTTTTTGTAGAAACAGGTTTGCAGCAATTAAAGCATAATAAGAGGTTTGAGATCAGTGTGTTTGGGTCACTGTGAAATCGTTACTTTAGCTCATGAAAAAGGGATGGTGAAGTACTGCCATGTCAAATACTGCACAGTAATGGGTTTTCACACTACATACAAATGATTTATGAGGGTGTTGAAGTTCATTGGTTCTGAATTGTGTGACATCACAATGGCGAGAGGTGGAGAACTATGCAATTATTTAAGAGTTGCACATGCTTCACTTAAACACAAGTTGGAAAGATAAAGATAAAGAGCGACAACTCAAAGAGAACCACGAGCAGCTGTACAAAGTGATGACCCCCACAGTGGGATAAATGGAGAGAAAGACATGAACACAGCGCTGAGATGAACAGCTGATATTAATGACATGAGAGGAAACAAAAAGAAGCCCAAACACATTGAAAGGCAAGAGCGATGGGAACAACAACATTGGCATACAAAAGCGAGAACAGAGCCCTTATGTTCTCTTGTTTTGTGTTGTTTGGCTATTCATGCATATGTGATGTAGCCTGACCCTGTCCACCTGCATGTCCCGCACCCCACATCTACGGTCTCAAACGCTGTCTTGCACACATCCAGTACATAGATTGTAAAAGGCAGCCGGTGACTCACCGCAGCGCTTGTCTTTGATGCCTCCATAACCGCTTCAGAAACTCTGGCAGGGCTCACTTGAAAAGCCTATGAACACACACACATACACACACAGAGCCTTACTAGTCTGGCCCACTGATGGATGGAAGTATTATTGCCCCTGCTCTGTCCGACCACTGGTCTTCATCCTCTCTCGTGCTTTATCTCTCTTGCTCTGCTGGGTAAATGGGCTGGAAGCACCTCGGAGCAGGTGTGGGTGTCTATGTCAGACTATGACAGACCTAAGACCTGATAGCTTGCTTTACTCGGGGGCTTGTTGCGTCAGGCAGTTGCAGAGGTGCTTGTTTGCTTGGTGTGTCAGCGTTTTAAAATTCAAACTCACCCGGCAAGGACAGATGGGGGTCATTAATTAAAGACTGAGGAGTCGAGGATGATTTATACATCAAAACCAAGTATCCCCTCCCAGGAGACAGAAGAAGCTGCTGGGGGTGTATGAGCTTGAAGCCCAAATGGAGCAATAGAGAGAGGGTGAGGGTGTGATAGTGAGAGGATGGAAATGAAAGGAAGGATTGAAAGAAGGAAAGAAAGAGTAAAAGAAACAAAGGAAGGAAGGATTGAATAAATAAATAAATAAAATCAAAAACCTGGAGGATATTATCAAAAGAAGAAATGAAAGAATAAAAAAGAATGCAAAGGGAAGGACAGAAGGAAGAAAGTAATAATGTAAGGAAATGAAAGGAAGGACTGAAGGAAGTAGGAACATAATAAAGGAAAGGAACCAATGAAGAAGGATTAAATAAATAAATAAATAAATAAATAAATAAAGAAAGAAAGAAAGAAAGAAAGAAAGAAAGAAAGAAAGAAAGAAAGAAAGAAAGAAAGAATGAAAGACTACAAACAAGGAATAATTTAACAAAGAAAGGAAGGAACAATAGAAGGAAATGAAGAGTTCAGATGCAAAAGCCTCTAAATGCCATTTGAGATTTTCTTCTAAAATGACCATTTTTATCAAGCTTGTATATTTAAGTTCAGTAATTTCACTTAAATGACAATTAATAGGTAATCTTCATTGCCATTTAAGTGAAATTACTGAACTTAAATAAACAAGCTTGATAAAAATGATCATTTTAGAAGAACATTTCAAATGGCACTTAGAGGCTTTTGCATCTGAACTCTTCAAATAATAAAATAAAGAAACAATGAAGGAAGGTAAAAAAAGAAAGATAAAGAAAGGTACAAAGAAGGACAGAATAAAAGAAATAAATATGGAAGATTAAAAAAAGAAAAAAGGAAGTATAGAAGGAAAGAATAAAAGAAAGAAACAAGGAAGGAGGGTTAGAAAAGAAAGGAATCATTAAAATAAAAATGATGAAATTAAGGAAGAAAGAAAGAAAAAAAGGAATGAAGGACTAAAGAGTAAAACAAAGAAAGAAGGGAGGGTTGAAGTAAATTAAGAAAGAAAGGAGGAATGAAGAATGAGGAAAGAAGGAAGGAAGCCAGGAAAAGAAAGTAGGAAGGACAAAAATAATTAAAACACCAAAAAAAAAAGAAAAAACAGGGAAACAAAGAAAACAAAGAAAAAACAAAACAAAAACAGAATGAAAGGGGATGAAATTATAAGAAAGTAAAGAATGAAAGAAGGAAGGAGAGAGAGAGAGAGAGAGAGAGAGAGAGAGAGAGAGAGAGAGAGAGAGAGAGAGAGAGAGAGAGAGAGAGAGAGAGAGAGAGAGAGAGAGAGAGAGAGAGAGAGAACAGTGGCACACTGCAGTAGCCTCAGGACAGCACAGGCCTAGTGTGTTTTGGGCTGAACAAGTCTGAAGAACACTCATTAAAGCAGACACTAGACTTCAAACACACAGTGCCATGCAAGAGGAACACAGACCAGAGACAGAATCTCACATGAACAAGCGCAGTGCTGCAGTACACAACACACAATGTGGAATGACTGGCAGGAATAAAGCAACGAGTGAGTGAGAGTGAATGATACCAAGGAAAGGACTTACTATCTAGGCTGCATTTTGGGGGTATACTAACATTGACTTATGTCTGCTGATACTGTAAAACCTGATTCACTAAAAGAATCAAACAACAAAAGTCGGAACGCTCTAGTCCAAACGATTCCCAGTTTGAGACCTTGTTTTCAGATAAGAGATAATCCCAGATACAGGGGAAGTGGAGATGTACAAGATAGTGGGGAGTTGCCTTTTGATGCTCGCACTGTAGGCGTTACACACTATAACAGCCGTGTGCCGCGTCCATTAATTTCTGGGTCAGAGTGACAACAACAACAAATCCTGAAACAGAATTACATCCTGAGGCGAGAAAACTAACTTCAAAGTGGGTGTGTTTAATTATTCTGTGATCCTCTCCTCTTGTGTTTTTTTGTTGAGGGAACACAATGCGGAAACACAGCCACGACGCTAACAACGGGCGGTTGAGTGCGTGCATGTGTCAGCAACCAGAGCCTGCTGGGAAATGTCGCTCGCACCGGATAATATTCGGAACCAGCACTCTCTAGAGACTCGCAAACTCGCTCTAATGAGAAGCCACTGCTGTTTCTTCCCAGCCTTCGCTCTTCTAATTAATTAGACAGTCATTTAATTCTGTCTACATTACCCTTGTTTGAGGCTTGTCTGGGGAGTGCCATTAAGCTTTTAACGCAGTCGAAGACAGCCCCTTTCTCTCCATCAAAAACAAAAAAATCAATCCCGTAATGCCGAGTTTAAAGCTTTGACCTCGTCCAACCATCTAGCATGTCTTTGCTTTGAATCCAAATGAAAATGTATCGTGGAGTTCAGAGAGTTCAGGTGTTTTTTTCATAATAACCAGGGTGGGTCTAAATAAGTCTGAATTGAAGTCTGACTTCTTCCCACCCTGTTTCGAGCAGTTGATTGATTTATGTTGTCAAAAATCAAATGCTTCTTATTGTCTTTGTTATATGTTGCTCAAAATAAAATAAATTCATTCATTCATTCATTCGTTCGTTCGTTCATTCATTCATTCATTCATTCGTTCGTTCGTTCATTCGTTCGTTCGTTCGTTCATTCATTCATTCAGAACATCTCTTCCCTGACCTCACTCTTTCTAATGAGACAAGGGCAGGTGTACATCTGCATATTCCTCCGGGAACAGATCCGCAAGCCTGAAGACCACAGTTTCCCCCACACACTAACCAGCTTGAAGGTTAAAGGGACGAGTGTCAGAGGAATTACTTGTTCTCATAGGGGAAGACAGATCCCTTAAGGGAAAATGTGCTTCATGCAAAACAACTTAAGAGGAACGCGTTTCAGTTAATTACACCCACCGAGGACATTAAAAGGAAAGGAATTGCTCAGTTAGACAATAATTAATTTTAATCAAAAAGCAAAGCTTCTTTGAACAACGCAGCGGCGCCTCTGCTTGTCAGAGTTTGAGGGGACAGGGACACTTCAGCTTCTAGCAACAGACATGAGTGAGGTTAGTTAATCATATTTTAATTGACGCAAACAAAATCAATGCTGTGTGGGATTCAAGAATATATCATATTTAATGTTAAATATGCCATACTTTCTCAAACTATGTCATACTGTCTCACTTTTTCATGTAGATGTCAACAGATATGTACAGGTTGCACATCATTGAAAACAACAATAGGACTCATTATGTGTTTTATTAAGGGGAAAGTGATATGGAGTCAATATTATGCCACACATATTTGCAAAAGAATAAAGTACTGCAAAAGAAAATAACTTTTTGCAAACATACTGTGGAATTATACTGACTCCATAAAGTGATTACTTTTTCGTTTTCTAAGCTATTTCGTTCTTCCGAAAAGTTGAACCAAGATCATGAAAAGTGAGGTATGCATTAATTCGGAGTTGTGATTGGCTGCCGTGGCTAGAGAGTCGGTTTCTAAGCTTTTCTCCACATTTTAGGGCTGCAACAAACGATTATTTTGATAACGATTATTAGAACGATTAGTCGACTAATCGTCGATTATTTTGCCGGCTTATCAGTAAGTCTGGAACGGTTATTCAACTTTTTCAATTAGTTAAAACATTGAGTTATACATATTCTTACTATAATATAAAAAAAGAAAATCAGTTCAGCTTTTGAAATAGTTGTTTTAATGAACTTGAGCCAAATAAAGAGGTCATTCTCTTTTGTTTTCAGATTTCAGTCCAACTCAAATCACACACATGCTCTCTAAGCATTGTTTAATAGGATCACTACTTTTCTTAGAACTGAAAAAGAAAAAGGGCCAAAATATTAATCTGCAAACCATTATTATAAATGTCAAATTACAATCTTTTTTTACATGGCAATTGAGCTGACAGACACGTTCTCTTTGACCTTTTAATTTTGAAAAGCAAGTTCTGCCTTGCATGTATTGCACATGACAGCATTGTTGGTTTTAAGTATTGTGAAACTTTCCCAAACCTTGCTAGTTCGGATTCGTTTGCACTCCGTCATAATTCGCGCTGTTTTTTCTTTTACTGCAATAGCATTTGTAAGGGCTGCATTACACTCTAGTGCCACGCAGGTTCCTGAGGTGGGCGAGGAGACTAAATACACCTCGCCCACTCTCTATACCCTGTTGAGATTGTCTCTGGTCCTTTCAGCACTTCAATTACCTCCCTTTAAACATTCTGTCCTGTAAAAGACTCCTGGTTGAATTGGCCTCAATCAAGAGGGTAGGGGACCTGTATGTTGACGAATCATGCCTGGAATTCGACCCGGCTAACTCACACATGATCCTGAGACCTCTGCCCGGATACACGCCCAAAGTTCCTACCACTCCCTTCCGGGACCAGGTGGTGAACCTGCAAGCGCTGCCTTCGGGGGAGGCAGACACATCCCTAGCTTTTCTCTGTCCTGTCCGTGCTTAAACCTGTACGTGAACAGAACGCAAAGCCTCAGGACCTCAGATCAGCTCTGTTACGGAGCAACTCTGTTACGGATGCCAACAGAAGGGAAAGCTGTCTCCAAGCAGAGGATGGCCCACTAGCTTATGAAGCCCAATGCGTGCCCTCCCCGCCTGGGTTGAGAGCCCACTCAACAGGGAGTGTTGCTTCTTCTTGGCTGCTGACGCACGGCGCATTGATGAC